TATGTGTATGTGATCCCTTTTCGTTCCCACTACTTTAGTTCACTATGTTCACTATGCTTTGCGGTCCTCACTGTCCTCACCATGTTCTTCTGCCCGGGTGTACCCGTACCATTTCAAACCCGCCGACTCCCAAAACGACAAGCCGTTTGTGCGTCCATTGGTGCCGCCTCTTCCAGTCAGCGAGCCTTCGACTGCAGCCATTTCTGAGCAGGATCTCGGTGTATCTCTCCCAGTCTCTTGCAGAATCCAGTTCTATAAACATGGCGAAGCAGGCGGTGTTCGTCACCCGGCCGTGTGGTTGCGTTGGGGACAAAATGAAGGTAGACAAAGCAACATGCAACTTGCACCCTTGGATAGTGGGATTTGCTACACCCAGGTTTCTACAGGTCGCTTCTGTAACAGTGCTCAGAAGTGATGGCTGTGTGATGGCTGTGTTGTAGCCTGTGGGCTCAACGATTTTGCACAATGCAAGGTTCTCCCTTTGAAGTCTTGGCGTGAATTCTTGGGTTGTGCCTCTGCCACACGTCGCTACATTGGAGATCACCACCGGCCCCAAGTCGACCAAAATGGTGTCCGTGCTTTGCAATTAGTTTTTTTCATGTCACGACGATGCATGCGTGCTGACGCGCTCTAATTTGGCTTGGCATGAGGTGCTGGACTGCAGAGCACGTGGGTCCGACCTGGCTTTAGATATTCAGAAACAGACTAGATGTGAACCGAAACTTCACTGTATCTTCGACTGGCCTTCCCTGAAGGACGTTTGTTGGCCTCGATCTATGTTGCAAATCGCATCGCCACAGTTGACTGTTACAGTTGCTGTCTTGATATCAGTTTGACAGAGCAACAGCATGCAGTTTCCCCGGTCAAAAGGAGCCATGGCAGTGGCCAGGGATTTCTAGAGTGTTCGCCAGGTTGCCAAGTTGGATTCGCGAAAGGGCAAATCCACAAGCCTGATGGATTCACATCGCCATGTCGCGTCTTATAGAAACCCTATGTTTAATGGACAAATCCCAATGATTCATGGTTGAAATTTGACCCATATTCGCTTTGTTGGCTTTCGCATTGTTGGTTGGGACTGGTACTGCACGATGCTAATCAACGGTTTCAATTAATCCAAGGGTTTCATAGAGTCGAGATTCAAGATCCAATTACCATCTGAAGCAACTCTACACTTGGAGATCAGTGGGTGAAACTCAGATGATCGTTGCCAACCTGCATGAAACTCTCATCGTCAAAAATAACATGTGTAGAATCTGCATTTCTCCTCAGGAAATGACAACCTGCTCAACTTTCTGTGGGTCAAATCAGGGTGGTTTCACTATTCTACCTTGCCAATGCTGACCGAAAGAACATGTTGGAAATCATGGGACTAGCAAAAATGTAGTAATATTATCACAGTGGGTTATCTAAGAACAATATGGCAATACCTGGATCTTCACTTAGCACTTTTTTCTGCTCATAGCAGTTTTCGCTTGGATATACGCTCGTTCTGAATTTTTATGCGCACTGGAACTAGAAAACGCGCATGTGTTTCTTGACGGACGGGCATTTACGTTTTTTCCCGGGTATTTTTACGCTTATTTCCCGGCAAAATACGCTTATAATTTATGTTTCAAAATGCACAAAGTGCAAAAATGCCAAAAGTGGAGCAATTACGCCTCATGTGGAGAAAAAACTCAAAAAGCAGAAATCTCTCAAATGAGCATGTTTTGTGCTTTTCCGAGGATGCAGGTATATGGGATATCATGTTTATCTAGGTCACTGAATCTCAAAACTGTTTTTAATTCTCCAACAGCAACCTGTGGAACATGGACCAAATATGTTGTGGAATTGGATTAAATCAGCCTGATTGGTGGCAGTTGCACTGATCTGTATCACTGAGGGCCAGTAATAATGTGGCATTAGCAGAAGCAGCTGTGTTTAGCTAATTGAATGTTGAAGATAATAAATCTGAACATGGCAAGCGAAGAAAACAATGCGATCAATGCGTGATTGCTCAAATCATCTACGAATGGATTCATCCATTTTGTCTTGGGATTAACCAACAGGACTAGTTCTCCGGTAACCTAACATAACGATGGAAAATCACCTTTATTTAATGGGTAAATCAGTAAATCCACTATAAATGGCCGTTTTCAATAGCTATGTTTGTTCACCAGAGGGTAGTTCTCCCGGATCTCCCAAACAGCCTGATTTTTTCAGAACGCCATGGCAGCCTAGATGTCCAGAATGCCAAGAGGTTCCACAGCTGGAGCCCTTTTCTTCCTCCTACGGCACGAGGGTGATTTATGGAAGCATCAAAATCCAATGTTGTTATCATATTAAGCACCAAAAAAGATAGAGCTGATAGAACAAGAAAATCCCACGAAATGAATGGTACATTACCATTCTATCTTTTTTGGGGGTTGCTATACCGATGTCTGGATGGTTTCAAACTTAAAACCTTGATTGTACAAGGTGGTGCCTGCAAGATAAGATGAAGTTACGCAATTTAAAAGTTGAGTTATTGAAGATAGGTTGAAGTTAACATAACTTAAGTTAGAGAATTTATAAAGTAAGTTATATCCATTTTATAAGTTCGCTAAGTTTTTAGTTTGTTGAAATTGCTGTTTAGGGCTAAATTCAATGGTTTTCACGATGAATTTAACGGTTTGAGGTTGGACCCATGGCGCGAGCAGCTTTTTTTCCTTCAAGGCATGCAGAAAATGTAATTTTGATGGCCAGGGCGCCACCAGCTGCGTGGCCGCCAGCGTCTCATCCATGGCTGCCATGTCACTGCACCGGTATGGGATCAGGACAACTTGAGGATGTGAAAAAATGCTGCGGTGGTGCAACATCTCTCTCAGAAATGGAATGTGTTTTTGGTGCGAGAGACGGCTGAAGAGAACACATTTATGATAGTGGTGGAACACAAACGCGTTCTTATCGGGAGTGTAGGAACACATATGCGTTCTACATAGTTTTGTACAGAACACATACGCGTTTCCAGTGTTTTTTGGGGTTTGAGGTGGAACACATACGCGTTCTAACTACAAATTTAAGTATATTTCGGATGTATAGAACACATTAGAACACATTAGAACACATTTAGAACACATTTAGAACACATTTAGAACACATTGTGTTTTTTAGCGTTTTCCATTGGAATACATATTGCATACAACATTGAAACATTTATGTCCCAATTTTCCCCATGAGCCAACCAAAAATTCGGAAATGAGACCCAATTCTGCATTTCCTGCCTAACAGTTGCAGCAGCTAAAGGCTGCAATGCATCTGCTCCAACAGCCACATATGCCATCGCCTACCTCAAAATGCTACTTTCGACACAAACTTGAGACAAAACAGCTTCATGTGTACCACACATCATTGGAATTCCCAATCAACATATACAAATTCAAAAAATAACATAGCAAAACCTAAGTTCGCTAACTTCCCCATATCTTAGTTTTAAGTTTTCAACTTAAGTTACTTAAATTATGTTATAAATCCATAACTAAGATATATCTCTAACATCAGTTACGTATAGTTACAACATAAGTTAACCCATTTTATAAATCAACTTAACCATACTTATAACATAAGTTATAACTCACAGGCACCACCTTGTAACTCCATTGTATCACAAGTATATCCCAACTAGTGCTGGTTACTTCTATAAAGATTCTATATACTACATCTGGGAAATTGAAATATTTCACTAGCCTGAAATAGGGCGATTTGGGGACGATCCCCAAATCCGGATCCCATGATTCCAGTGAACGGATCCAAGGGATCGAAGGGTGGGGAACATCACTGTATCTGGTTGGTGGTTTCAACCCCTCTGAAAAATATGAAAGTCAAATGGGATTATTGTTCCCTATGGAAAACTATAACATGTTCCAAACCACCAACAAGGTATTATACTTTTGTCAATAGGCTTTGTAAGCCAACTTACGGCGGGACCCACCTTGTACGTGAAGCCTCATTTCCTGAATTCTCATGTTCTTGACCCAACATCGCGGGAATCGAGAACATCATCACCAGTACCCTCTGGTAATCAAACATAGCAATGCAAAATCCCCGAATTATATGTTAGATAATGTATAAGTCTATAGCTGGGAAAAACATCTATAGTATCTATACAGTTGATTTTGCAGCGTTAGCCATGTTTGCCAGCATCCTCAATGTCCCGTTGGTCAACGGGTTGTTTCCACAACATCTGCGACTCGCGATCCGCCCCATTCTTCGGCTGTTAGGCTCGGGTGCCGAAAGGTCTGCCGTTTGAAACTTCTCAAAGTTCAGACTTGACTTTCACAGATGCGAAGCCACAGTTCAAAGCCCTGTTTTCATTTGTTTTCGCTATTTTTCAATGACCTGTGCTAAGGTGGTTTTGCAATTCGCGCGTCATCATGGTGAATCATGGTGGCTTTCCATGGCTTTCCAGGGTTTCGGGGTCCATAGAAAACATAGAAAACAATAGGGGCAAGATCGACCAAATATCTCATGACCGAAATCAGTTGGCCAAAGACCTGGTGATTCCGTGCCAAATGTTGCTAATGCACTCGGAGCCCTTGGCAACGCAACGTAAATCTCTAACAAACATATGGGACATATTTATAATATAAGTGGAGTGTTATAATTGTTATAAGCATTGGTTCCCCCCCAAAATAATGATGTTTATGGATGTTTGATGTTTATCCCCCTATAGAAGTCTAGAAACAAAAATGCACCGAATGACCGACGGACCACTCTTTCCAGTGCAATATTTGCACAGATCAGGCACTCCATGACTCCAGCCGACGTGTTCTTTTCACCTTCAGGAATTGCGACGAAACTGCACCTTTAGGTGACCAATAAAACACAAGGCCACAAGGCAGTGAATCGTCAAAAAAAAGTGGAGCATAGCAGGCTGATGGCTGTGAAGTCGCGCAGATAACAGCGGTTTCAGAGCTGAGCTGTCAAATTAAAGCAGGCAAAGCATCCTCGTTAATACATGCAGAGTTTTGCTTAAGTTGATCATTTGGTTGGTGTTTCACAGCATTCTTCAAAGCATTGGGTGAGATTTGATCTGAACCCATGCCATCTGATCCACTCACTTCGTGATTGGTGGGTCATCCACAGCCTGAGTCCCAGCGAGGGCTAGATACGGAAAATCTGAAGTTGTCGGAAAAAAAACGGAAAAGACACAATACCAACACCGATATATCAATTGATCAAGTCCGGATGATTTAGCAGGCTGCCCTGGAGTCTGCGATGCAAAATCAACCTCACCACCCACCTCCACCAGGACGCTGATAGACTCGTCTGACCATGGTCGGGCGCCAAGACACCGGTTTCAAAAGGTCCATGAGCTTCTGGTTGCCTCCTTTCTTCGCCAGGTCATAAGGTGTTTCGCCTTGCACAACTATGCACAACTCAAGTTTTGGGAAATGTGCAAAGGAGGAGATGGATGGATAAACTATGATATGCTGGGGCTGGGGTTGCTGAAATCGGGTTTTCTATCTGGCCGATATCCTATTGTATCTATACTCGTCTATACTCCATATCCCTGCGCAAAATAGATCCATGAGAATGCAAGTATGATATAAATATGCTTCAACAACAATCAACATCGTTTCGCCCGTCGAAAGCTTCCGCCTCGATCTGCCAGGACCACACCATCACCATGCCCCTCCCCAAGCCCCCGACAAACTGAGGCCGTGGCCGAAGTTGTTCGCCGTGTCCATCTTGGTTTTCGCTGCGATCAGCTGCTCGACCACGGTGGTGCAGCCGCTGCGCGCTGCTTCATGGAGCGCCGTATCGCCTCATGTTGCTTGACCCTATGAGGATCATCAAAAGTTCGACGTTAGGAAACCACGTGTTTTTTCAGATGATCTCACACTTTCATTGTTTTTCAATGAAAACGACAAACGCTACTGGTGACTGATCCCTCAGCCGTTCTTGCACTGTTCAGATGTGGAGCAAAATAAAATAATCTGACAAGTCTGCTTTTACGCTTTGCACCATGTCAAGCATGTCAAAGTTGACAAGAAGAAGTGCCCCATCGCATTGTATTCATTCCTCATAGCCATAATTCACACAGGAAACAAAAATTCTGATTGTACAAGTCGGTTTATTTCAACGTTGGGTTGTTTTATGTTGTTCTATTGTGTTGCGTTCTTAGCTTGAAAAAATAGAAGAATAGAAGACATTATTCACTATCAACTATTGTATTACTATTATCATCCTATAGGCATCATCCGGTTTTTAGGTCAAACCGACTTGAAAAAAACAAAAACCTTCCTGCTGGGGCCGCTGCCATCGCTGCTCTTCCCATCCACAGAGGCGCCAGACTTCAGCAGCAGCTCGACCGCATCAGAGTGGCCGCTGCCTGCCGCATAGGCCAAAGGAGTCCCACCTCACAAAAACCAACGAGCCACGCGGACGTCGTTGGCAAAATCTGTCTGTCTTTTTGGAACCAATTTTCTTAGAGGTGTTGTATCTTGTTTTGTCGATTCGAAGACCGTACATGTTGAGTCTGAGCTGAACTTCAGCTAGAGAAATAGCATGTGATGTCCTTCCTCTTCCCAAAAACACATGATGGCCTGCCTTCCTTTAAGACCCAGAAACCCTCCTAGGCTCCTGGCCGAAATTGTTGTTTGCGTCTACGCTGGCCCCTGCAGAGATCAGCTTCTCGACCAAGGCAGAGTGGCCTTCCCGAGCTGCCAAATGCAGCGCCGTATTGCCTTGGGCACGCGATCTTTCGTTCCCCGGCACCTCCAAGTGCAAGTACGATTCAATCCGAAATCAATACAAACAAACAAAAATCATCAAAAATCAATATCCACAAATATCATCAAATATCCACAAGCTAAAACATGCTAAAACAATCTAAAGCATGCAAAAACTATAAATCGGACCCCTCCTCTCAGGCCCCTTCCAGAACCTCTTCAGAACCTCGCTGAGGCGCCGAAATTGTTTGCCGCGTCCATTTTGGCTTCCACAGAGATCAGCTTTTCGACCACGGCACCGCGGTCGTTGAAGACCGCCCAATGCAGCGCTGTGTCGCCTAGGCCGATGCTGGGACATGCACCATTGCATGCGACGAGGCTTGGGATTGACCCAAAAATCGGTGTAGAAATATCGTAACATGGGTTAAGATGGTGTATAAAGGGGTTAAACACCAAAGTTGTGGTATGAACTATGAACATTCTGATTGAACATGAAGATATCCTCAGTACCTGCTGTCGCTCAGCAAGATCATAGATTGAAAATATATGGCAAACACACTGGGTATGGTATTTTCATGTATGTTACTGTATGTTCACATATGTTCAAATGCAGCGTTGCATCTTCGGGCCTGGGTGCTTTCAGTATCGGTCCTTTCTTGCGCCATCCCAATAGAGAAAGAAGTTGGCAAACAGAAGCCGCCTATCAAATCATAGCCATCACATGCCATCACCTATTTTCTATATATCATCACTATCATCACATACATCATGGTCAAAGGAAAAACAACACATCCCCGTGAAAGGTTTGCAGACTGACCCCTGAACTATCCTGAACTTAGATATCATCACATCATCCTCAAAGAAAAAACATCCAACTGGACCCAGTTTGATCCCTCTAGGGCCACCACCGGCATTGGTCTTCGCCTCCACGGAGGCGCCGGACTTCAGCAGCAGCTCAACCACCTCGACGCACCCGTTGCCTGCCGCCCAGAGCAGTGGCGTCCAGCCTCGGATCCAACGTGGCTGGAAAATCCATGAAAATCCACTGTAAACTGATGATAAATTTGGAGGTGTTAGTGTTAGACGGCTTGAGGCTTTTAGTCGGAAAATCATCTATAATTCTGGGGGTAATTAAAATAGTTAAACGTAATTCATGTATGGTAGAAATAACGTTCCATCCTCTACCCTTGACAAAGCAGAATATTTGGGTCGTTTTGCCTTTTTGCATCGTTTGAGTTTTTTGGGTCGTTTTGCCTCGTTTGCACCTTTTTCTGCTGCGTCCTGATTTTTCTGCCGCGACCTATTCCACTGTATCTTCTTCAGTTGTTGCATGTATAAATGCCGATATTTCTGCATCGTGCGTGTTAAGCTGCAAAAAGGGGTGACAAGATCTTTGGAATCTTAAGACATGACCTATTGTGATCCTTGTCTGCCACTCTTCAAGAATATCAGCTTAATGGCAACCTTCAGAATCTTCAGACGAGTTCAACTTGAGCACACATGAAATGCGATGTTTTGCAATTTCCCATTGAATTTTGCAGTTTGGCCACAACCTTCAAGGTTCCTCAAGGCAGAAGTCCAGATTTGCACTTTTTTGCGGGGTTGTGCGCCGTGTTTGCGGGGTTCTGCGCCTTGTTTGCGTGCATGTTTCTGTCCTGAATGTATCAGTTTGTTCTTAAAAACCTGTCGATGGTATTGGAGGGAGAAACTCCAGAAGTTCGGTGCAACTGCAGCTGAGCAAAGAGTCGCACTTCCACTAAAAAACTGGGTGGAGGGATGTCACCTCAACTAGCGGTGGCAAAATCATGGCAGTGTTTTTGAGTTACCAGGCCCAGAATGGGGCACTGAAACCCCTTATTTGCTGGACATTCCCATGGGAAATATGATTCACAAACGTTGTGGACATGATTGTGCCACTCTACACCACTTCTGCCCCTTCTGCCCCTTCTGCCCCTTCTGCCCCTTCTGCCCTTTCTGCCTTGTTTGGCAGTTTTTGGGTCGTTTTCCCGAAAAGAGGCTCACAAAGCAAAAAGTCCTAAATATTTGGGAACGTGGAAGGTCCAGGATTGCTTATATATGATTGAAGACCGGAAGGTATTTGTTTCCGCCCTTCAAGTGCAGGGTCTCAACGACCAATAATTAATGTCATCCTTCAGCGTCGAAACGCAAGTCGCATAGCAAAGCTTTGCTTGTTGCTTTGCCGAAAAACGCTGCAGTTTGCTGACCACAATTCATGGCTCATGACATTCAATCTGAAAAGCAATTGCTCTTCCTTATATGCTTTGATAATCTTTGATATGCTTTAATGATCTTCAATGCTTTCCACTCAACTTCAGGACTCCATGGGAGGCCCCGAAACTGGTCCGAGGCGCCCTGGAAGCCACTGGCGTCCACCTTGGCCCCCGCGGAGATCAGTTTCTCGGCCACGGCCTTGAAGCCGTTCCGAGCCGCCCAATGCAGCGCTGTGTCACCTTGGCGAGTTGAGGAGGTGACGGTATCAATTGGAAGACAAGACCATGATAGGAAACACCCGGTGGTCATGGCAATATCATGTCTTGGTGCCTGATTGATTCAAGACTACAAGAGATACTGATGACGGATCTCTTCTCAGTCCTTTCTTGTGCCATCTTGTGCCATACAAATGCAGAAAAAAAGCTGAGAAGATCTCAGAAGTTTGCTTTCGCATTTTGCAAGGCAGCCCATCAAATATCGTTCATTCCTCGTGTCTATCATCACCATCACTCAAATTTATGAAAAAATAAAAAACCATTTAAGAAATATACAATCAGGGGTTATGGTGCTTTCACCTTTGCATCAAACATCATCAAAACCAAGTTGGTCGTTCCGTCGGTTCTGGGGCCATCACCATTGTCATTCTGTGCCTCCACGGAGGCGCCGGACTTCAGCAGCAGCTCGACCACCTCGATGTGGCCGTTCCCTGCTGCCCGGAGCAGTGAAGTTCTGCCTCGGACACCAAGGGGACGCATTGGAAACAACATGAAACAAAGCTGCAGTGCCTTTGAAGAGCGCGGTATCAACGGTAACAACGCAAAATGTTGGAAGACAAGGAGTGGTATGAGGGAGTGTGGTGGGCTAGACTTCAACTGGTAAGCGGGTAACCAGTATAATGAAATAGCCTCTGGTCGGAAGGGTCAGATTTCATAGCATAGTGTGGAAAAGGTTGAGGATTGGTTGCCTCACCTTTTGCAACGCCTTCCCTCACGAAAATCGCTGTGCTCATAGCTTCAGCTTCATTGCAGAAAACAATTGCCAAGACAAGCAAACATGACATTTCTGAAACAGCGCGTTTCCTCCTGTCACTCACCATCTGTATCTCTCCCTGTTTGGGGAGCCCATGGAACAAGGTAGAACTTGAAACTTCCACCGCCGCCAACCCTTTCGAGGCCTTGGAAGCCACTGGCGTCCACCTTGGCCCCGGCAGAGATCAGCTTCTCGACCACTGCGCAATGGCCTTCCCGAGCTGCTCCATACAGTGCTGTGTCGCCTCGGCGCGAGGTGAGGAGGTGACTCTCTCAGGGATGGAGGTTCGTTTGGATGGAATTGGTTCCTGCATGGTATCACAGCATCACATACGATTTTTGATTGTTGTATGCAAAAAAAAGGGTTTGGGTTGTGAACACAAAGGTACTTGGAGACGATATATTCCTCAAAAAAACCTCTTGCGGCTCAGGAAGTTCAATTTCAAAACAAGACATAGGAAACCACCCGGTGGTTATGGCAACGTATGGCAACATCACATCTTCCTGCACCTGCTTGATCCAAAACTACAAGAGATACTGATGACGTACGGATCTCTTCTCGTTTCTTTCTTGTGCCATCCAGATGCAGAATATTGCTAGACAGCACAAGGCAGCAGTCAATCAAATCTTGTTCGTTCCTCATGTCTATCATCACCATCACTAAAATCTATGACAGTGTAGATTCAATCTACTATATATACATCTATACTGTTTTCACCTTTGCATCAGACTGAGTTTCACATTGTCGTTCCGTATGTTCTGGGGCCATGGCCATTGTCATTCTGTACCTCCAAGGAGGCACCGGACTTCAGCAGCAGCTCGACCACCTCGACGTGGCCGTTCCCTGCCGCCGAGAGCAGAGGCGTCCTGCCTAGGCCACACAACCCACGCCAGAAACCACCCACAAGACCCATTGGAAGAACATCTCTCCAGGGCAATCACTTTTCACAAGGGCGCAAAATGTTGGAAGACAAGGGAAAGATGATGGTATGAAGAAGTGTGGTGTGCTGGACTTCAAGCTGTACAAATAGGTTCCCATAGGAATGTGCGTGTACGGTGTAGAGGAATACGGGAAACTGTTTGTAAAGAATTCGGCTGATGCTGCCTGCAAAGAAAACTGACAGCATCCTGTGGCTCAGTCACAAAATCTTTTCGAAGCATAGTTGTTGAATCATGCAAAGCAACATCAAAACACCCGAGCACAAAGGTGCAGCCACACGTGAAAAATCACAGACGTTCAGCAACCAGAGAGCCACCAGATTGCAAAGCATCAAGGCACAAAACCATTCCAAATCGGACAAAATCTTGGGAAACAGCAGCATTGACGCAGCAATTCGAGGCAGGGCAAAGCTTCCAATAGATGCTCGAAACACCCAGGGCACGATTTTTTTAGGTAGAAATCACCTTGACTCAGGGCTTTAACAAGCTGCCAAACTCAAGGGCACCACTGCACAACGCTATCGTAAAGACACCATGCCCCAGCAGTTCCATTGCACCAGAGGACGTGAGCTTGAGAGGGTGTGCGTGAGGTTGGGTGAATGTCAGATTGAGAGGAAGTGAGGTTGGGGGCTGTGAGGCTGAGATAGGTGGATTATGGTGGATTCAATCTGACGTTGGGTCAATGTGAGGAGTGAATGTGCTATTTTTTCCAGGACAGGCGGTTGAGTGAGTGTGAGGTGTGGAGTTTCCCTACAAAACTACATACCAGTGAAAATTGCACCAGTTTTTTTTCAGCTGGTATTCGGAAGAAACAGGTTGAAGAACACAAACTGAAAAACATTGAGAATCAACTGTAATCTCCCAAAAGGTGAAAAAGTCAAATCCTATAGAAAATTAAAATAGTGATGATTCACGTATTACTGTTCTATCTTTTTGGGAGTTACTGTGCGGCTCCGCCTTTTGCAATGCATCGCCTCACAGCATTACTCTGCTTATGGTTTCACTATGCAAAACCTCTGCCATTTGCTGACATGCTGGCAAATGAGATCTTGGTGATATCATTCAAGACACCTAAAGTTCTGAAAAAACCGCATGTTCATGCATTTTCCTTCAATAATTCAACATTCACTAGAGTATGCTAGCACCAGTAGCACCTAGCGGAGCTTCCAACTCCAAGATTTGCAGATTAATGAGTTGCACCTTGGCACCTTCACCACATGGCTCCTCTGTACAACTCAACTCTGAGGCCATGGCCTTGGAAGCCACTGGCGTCCACCTTGGCTTTTGCAGACAGCAGCTTCTCGACCACGGCAGCGTGGCCTTCCCGAGCCGCCCCATGCAGCGCCGTCTGGCCTCTGCGATGTGGCCAAAGGTTGTGGACTAGGGACGAGGTCCGGCCCTTCGTACATACAACAAGTCCAGCCAAAACTGTGATATGATGTGATGTTGCAAGAAATGGCAATACATGGTAAAAAAATGTGAACCACTGGGCCATGACTATTCTTGCGGCATGTTGCAAAGCTATCAGAAACTAGAGACCGCTGCATCCAACGCGCAAAAAAAACCTAACAAAGCAATGCAAAACATGGGTTTAACACGGTGTAACAATGAAAGCCGCAGTTCCATCAGAACAGGGCACCGAAGAAGCAACTAGTCACGTCATCTCTGCTCCTGGGGCTGAAACCGCTATTGTCCTTGGCCTCCACGGAGGCGCCGGACTTCAGCAGCAGCTCGACCACCCCGACGTGGCCGTTCCCGGCCGCCCGCAGCAGTGGCGTCCGGCCTCAGAGGCAGGCACTATCATCAAGAAACAAAACCCGAACTCCCAAAACTTTGAAACCTTTCCCAAGGTCAGGGCCTTGGAAGCCACTGGCGTCCACCTTGGCTTTTGCAGACAGCAGCTTCTCGACCACGTCAGCGTGGCCTTCCCGAGCCGCCGCATGCAGGGCCGTGTCGCCTTGGCCAGGGGAAAAGTGACCGGAGAGCTGCTGGTTGATAAATAGATACAAAAAACGACGATACAAATGCCATGTCAGCAGTGTTCAAAATCCTGATTTACTGCTTTGGATTGAGAATACAACCGTGGCTATCGCGAGGTGAACTTCAGAAGAACAAACTTTCCGGGAGCGTTTGCCGCAATTAGGCCAACATACACGAGGATTTAAAAAACATAAATGCATCTACAATTTTCCACTTCAGCTTTCGCGGAGTTTTCGCGATCTGGGTTTTTGCTTTCGCGAGCATGAAGCAGTTTGAGATAGTTTAAGCATGTGTAAGCCCACCTGCAACTCTCTTGGTATCTTTTAATGCTTCTCATGTGAAAACATGTGAAAACAAAGGTACTCTGAGGTGCTGGACTTGAGATTGCTGTAACAGGACGACGTATATGACGTATACGAACCACCTCTGGTTTTCCCTGTCTCAGGCCCTGGTGCCTGATCCAAAATTACAATCTACAAGGTGGATCAAGGTGTTGCCCCAGTTCGTTAGCTAAGTTGGTTTATAACTCCAATAACTATGATTTATGGTAGATATATCTATACTTACTATGGTTTATAAACCAACTTATAGCTGGGAGGGTACCACCTGTAGAACGCATATCAATGACTGGACACCAGATAAGTAGAAAAGGGAAAAACCATCGGACAAGTCGGCCATCGCCTTTTCCGAAGAGGGCCGAGAATGGAAGTTGGATCAAAGAAGCAGCCCACCAAATCATACTGTCCAGATCAGTTTCCCTTTCCCATAGGATCCATGTATGGTATATATGCTAACATTGGGGGTATATTGATGGTAAATGTTACCCTATATAGCAGCACCATGGATCCTATGGGTTGAGTTTGCAAAACCATGTTTCACAACACAAGTTTCACATGGTCATTCCTCGGTTCTGAGGCCATGACCATTGTCATTCTGTGCCTCCACGGAGGCACCAGACTTCAGCAGCAGCTCAACCACCTCGACGTGGCCATTCCCTGCCGCCGAGAGCAGAGGCGTCCTACCTCGGCCCAGGCGGTGTAAAAATTTATGGAGCACGCTTTACACGTAGCGTCTTGTGTAAAAATAAACAAGATGACATGACTGCAATGTCTCAGGACAGAGGTGCAATGAAGTCCGCTGGGAAGGGGCCGATTTGCGACATCACGCAGATGGCAGGAAACAGCTCAATTATTTTGTTTTTTTTGCCAATGTGACGCCTCATGTTGAGGACAATATCAATCTTTTCGCACCAGAGTGATAGAACTTCAAACTGCTCAACATCTGAACCACATCAAGCCCCAACTTTCCAAGGCAGCGGCCATATTTATTGCCGGCATCCACTTTGGCTTTCGCAACAATCAACTTCTCAACCACGACAGCGTGGCCGCTCTGCGCCGCCAAATGCAGCGCTGTGTCGCCTCGGCAGGGCACAATGGGCGTCTGTTGGGAAAGGGCTGGGCCCAGTGGTGCCTACTGAAAATGCCAAAACCACGTGAAAGCGAGAAGACTCATTCAAAAACAAAACCCTATTTCGTTGTACAAGGCCCTTTCCATATGACCACCTCATAACATTTGAAATCCGCCCGCACCGAAGGTGCTGGGGCGTGATCGTCCGGATGGCACTCGTAAAAGGTTACAGGTTTACCTGGGGGGGGGGCGGCCAAAACCTCCTGTTTTTGATAGGTCGTGACGCTCGCCTTCAAAAAACACTGTAAAAAACAGTACGGAAGACACCTGTTCGTGAACGCGCCCGTCCAAAATCGGCAAGCGAAAAGTGAAAAAAACCCGTGTTTTTCAACTTTTTGACCTCAATTTTTTGGTTTGCAACATCTTTTTTTGCGGTTCCGCAGGTGGCCTGGCCCGGAGGCGGATTTTTGAGTTTTTGGACCCGTTTTCGGACTGATTTTCGTCGTTTTGTGATAGCAGAAACACTGGTTTTTACAGTGTTTTTCTGTTTTCTGCATGCTTGACGGCTAGCTTCAAAACTTCCAAAAACCTCGTAAATTACGCTGTTTTATGTTACGGTGTGAATGAAAACATCGTAAATACCAGTGTTTTTTGACGTTGGTTAAAAAAACACTGTAAATTACAGTGTTTTTGGCCACCTGACCCTCAAAAACCATGGTATTTGCAGTGGTTTCTGCTTCTCACCGCGCAAAAACACGGTAAATAACAGCAATTTCGCCGTTTTTTCATGTTTTTCGTTATTTTTGAACTGCGTTGGTCCGCTATACATGGCTATCAAATTCTTCGCGTTTTTTTTTCCGACAATCAGTACTTTCGGATGTTTTTGGTCTCAATGGCCGACATCATTGGCAGTTACGATGCGGTGCGGGCGGTTGCCGTCGCGAAGCGACGTGAATACGCCAAGCCAAAGGTTGTCGACTACCCCGACCTGCTGACTTTTGAAATAAGGTATCATTTTTCACCCAATTTCACCGGCCCAAGGGACGCAGTCTGGGCTTATGACACGTCTAATTATACAACTGGTGATGTGCAATTCGATAGCTGTTGCAACCGCGAAGCATGATAAGAAATGTTGGCCGTGCATATATTATTGAAATTGCAACATATTGCAACATAATTATATTTCAAAGCTGCCAAAGCTACCAAACACCAGAGACAGCTGCATCGAGCGCCATACAAAACAAACAAATCACGGCATAAAGATGTGATGACATGAATGAACCCTGAAGTCAATGCCTCAGAAAATTGGCGTACACATACGTATATGCCCATTGGCCAAAAATAGTTGACAGAAGTTTTGTACCAGTTGTTGATAATTGGTGCGGAACCTAGTGTTTTTTCCTCTTCGTTATGAGGTGGCATGCAACTAAATTCACCAATCCTGAACCTGCTAGGTCTGCGGTAGTTTTTTTTCACAACCATGTTCAAGGATATGTTTTTCTGTGTTCCTGACTGCTTGTTATTTCGACATGAAGAAAAGTCAAGATGTAACGTTTAGCTCCTTAAACCTAAGGACGCCTTAGTGAATTTCTGTGCTACTCAACAATTTTCCTATATATATATATGTATTTGAGGTCGCGGCTCGATTTTGCGAATTTGTACGTGATTTTACCCGCCAGATCCCCGCTAGCAATGCGCTAGCCAAAGTTTCAAAAAGCGGCTTGAAAAAAGCAACAGTGACAGCAAAAGCAACGATAAGCCCTGCAGCGGATGAATTAGCAGCGGCACCCACTTCATCTAGACACGCGTTAGCAATATTACAGCAGGCTTTATCTACGGCTTTCAGACTATTTGGATAAGACATAGTCATAGTCTTAAAGACCAAACAAGGAGCGGCACGCAAGGAATTACGATAAATCAACCAAACCAGGAAAAGACATTTTGACCAAACCGTTATAGAAGAAGCAACTGCTCCCCCTTGGCTGCCACAGTTCCTCCCCCGTCCTTGGCTCTGGGATGCTCTGGGACCCCTGCCCTTGTTGTTCTTCACCTCCACGGAGGCCCCGGACTTCAGCAGCAGCTCGACCACCTCGACTTCGTCTTCTTCTGATGCCCAGAGAAGAGGCGTCTCACCTTGGCCCAAGAGGCAGCCACCAAGCCCTTTGAAGATGTCTCTTAGATTCTCTTAGGCCTTAAGGGGGTCCAAGGTCGAAACCAGAACCACGGCCGCTGAGGCCACGGCCGTTCCGGTCAGCCGCTTCCACCTTGGCCCCTGCAGAGATCAGCTGCTGAACCAGGGCGGTGTCGCCTGTCGCCGCTGCAAAATGCAGCGCCGTGTTGCCTCGGGGTGACGAAGCCACACATGGCAGGGCTGGAAATACCATGGGAGGTAGGGGTAGTGGGAAAAAATCTGTCAGGACACACTCCTTTGCGATTTGCTTACCGAGAATATGTTCGTGATATCACTCAACTCATGAAACAAAATCTCGTTCCTGTGCCCCTCCATGTTTGGAATGTACAAAATGGATGGGACCTGGGGTTTCAAACTGCCAGGAACTTCTGCCAAAATCCATGGCTGGCATGGCCCTCCCACCTGGAAATCTTTCTGAGGCCGTGGCTGTACTCATCGGCCACGTCCACCTTGGCCCGTGCAGAGATCAGCTTCTCGACCACCGCGTTGTGGCGCAGCAACGTTGCCAAATGCAACGCAGTGCTGCCTTGGTGCTGAGGACACCGTGCCATCACGGGCTGCTTCAACGTTTGTGACAAGCTCATATTTGTCGCGTGAGTCACGTCATTCAAATTTCTGCACCACAGCGAACTTTCTAATGATTTTCATGCAATTTCTGTACCTGTTCATATAATAATTATATTAATAGCACGATGTCAAACATAGTGGAAACTTCGAACTATAAGCTCTGCAAGAAACGCACAAAAATCCAAAGCAAAACGAAAAATCGCTGCGCCAAGGCACCTCCATCACCTCTGTCGCCAAAGCCACAAAGCTGTCCCCAACCACAGCCATTTTTATTGGCAGCATCCACCTCGGCCCCTGCGGAGATCAGCTTCTCGACCATGGCGCTGTCGCCGTCCATCGCCGCAAAGTGCAGGGCCGTGTTGCCTCGGCGCTGACGTGGGAGCCACCCCCGGATGGTAGCATCATCAGCCAAACAACAAAATTTTGTCGCATTGGAGGCAAACCTTGTCCATCACCACCTTCTTGCATTGCAGGAAGTCAAGGATGTCAAGGAGATGCACTGAAGAACTGCCGCTGGAAATCATGTAAAATTAAGGAAAATCCTCATGACTCTTTTGACATCTGCCGTGGCCCCTGGGGCCGTGGCCCCTGTCATTGGTCGCCTGCACGGAGGCGCCGGACTTCAGCAGCAGCTCGACCACAGAGACATGGCCGCGGACTGATGCTGCCATGTGCAGCGGCCTTTGGCCTCGGGATCAATCTCCCCGATAGACTTTGGATCTGGGCGGAAGGGAAACTCCTTGGAGTTTTTTTCGCTATCATCTAGACAGAGAAAAAAGAGAAACATCAACTCAAACACACGCAAAACAGCCCCGCTCATATCATTTTGTTGCTCAAAGCACGTTTTTCCTCTGACGAGCAAACATTGTGACATCTCTCAAATTTCCCAAAAACCTTTCCACTGACTTGTTGCACCGCTTCATTCTTGAGTATTCTTGGAGGACCATTCTAGCACATAAGTGGAAGCTGCAAGAAAGTCGTGACATCCCAATCAAAAAAAATAAAGGACCGGATAACCCCATATGTCAATTTCTTCCAATAATGGACAACAAATGTTGTAGCGGGACGGGGAAGGAGGGAAAGACAAAGGAGGTGGTGAAGGAACGAGAAGTAAAAGCAGTTGTGTGGGGCAAAGTTGTATGTGAACGATGGTGTGTGACAAAGATGGCGTGTATGTATGTATGTATGTATGTATGTATGTATGTATGTATGTATCTATCTATCTATGTATGTATGTATGTATGTATGTATCTATGTATGTATCTATGTATGTATCTATGTATCTATGTATCTCTGTATCTCTGTATCTATGTATCTATGTATCTATGTATCTATGTATCTATGTATGTATGTGTGTATGTATGTATGATTATGTATGTGTGTATGTGTGTATGTGTGTATGTGTGTATCAACGTAGGAGTATGTACGGGTGTGCAAATGCACGTATGTGCGTATGTACGTATGTACGTATGTACGTTCATATCTATGTATGCATGTGTGTATGCATGTATGCATGTATTGAAGCCAAAACTGGCATGCCAACACCATGAGTATAGGTGAGTGGCAGTGGCCGGTCTTGGCGCGGTCGATGTCGCCAAGTGCCACGCCTGCCACGCAAACAGCCGCAGCGCCCACGGCACCAAACGGGAACCAAGCGCGCCACCAGAGCCAGCCCAGTGCCATAAGTGCCACGCCTGCCATGCAAAGTGACGATCCATGTCGCCTGCCGCGCAAAGTGACGGTTGATGTCGCCAAGTGCCACGCCTGCCACGCAAACAGCCGCGGCGACAATGACGTCAACTGGGAACCAAGCGCGCCACCAGAGCCAGTCCAGTGCCAGAAGTGCCACGCCTGCCACCCAAAGTGCACGGTCGATGTCGCCAAGTGCCATGCCTGCTACACAGAAGTTGTGTGAGAGTAAGTTGTGTGAGAGTAAGCTGTGTGTGAGCAAGTTGTGTGTGAGTAAGTTGTGTGTGGACAAGTTGTGTGTGAGGAAGTTGTGTGTGTGGGCAAGTTGTGTGTGAGGAAGTTGTGTGTGATCAAGTTGTGTGCGAGCAAGTTGTGTGTGGACAAGTTGTGCGTGAGCAGATTGTGTGTGGACAAGTTGTGTGTGAGCAAGTTGTGTGTGGACAAGTTGTGTGTGAGGAAGTTGTGTGTGGACAAGTTGTGTGTGGAAGTTGTGCGGAGGAGGCAGGCGGCAGGATGAGGAGGAGGCAGGTGGGAGTGCACAACCAAAAACAAGAACCCCGCACAAAGATGCGGGGAACAAAAACACAAATTTCCGGCACAAAATTCCAGCACGAATCAGCCGCGTCGGGCCCCTCTTCGGGCCACCCCTCAAATCCCCTATCCATGTACGAACACCTTCCGTCATCTCGTCAGAGCCACTCCCAAAACGACCCGAAAACCCTTCCAGGGCCACGGCCGAATGAGTCGACCGCGTCCACCTTGGCCCCTGAGGTGATCAGCTGCTCGACCACGGCGCAATGGCCTTTAAGAGCCGCGTGATGCAGCGCCGTCACGCCTCGGCGCCCAGGATGCGACGCCGAAGGCGGTCATTGAAACCGTTGCCGGGGCCAAGGCCTTCACAGTCGACCGCGTCCACCTTGGCTTTTGCGGAGATCAGCTTCTCCACCATGGCAACGTTGCCCTTCTCCATTGCAAAATGCAGCGCCGTGTGACCTCGACGCTGTGGATGTGGATATGGATGATATGGGGAGCTGACTGGGTCAATGATGGGCAAAGTGTAAAAGAAATCAAAAATGGAATCTCAATCGTGCCCTCAGATAGGTATTCAAGATGAAGAACAATTATCAACAGACAAAAAGCCTGCTGCCATGTGCGAAGAAAGCCTTTTCCATCCATCCTCAAGGAAAATTGCTGTGAAGAACTGATTGAAAGTAGCCTGTAGACAAGGATCGGCAAGCCCAGGCTGAGGTTGGGGATTGTGATGCAATCAGGGACTGCAGGACTGACAGGACCCCAAGCACTCATTTCCGACCTGCTGACTTTACAAATCGATACAAATCGTATTTGCACCCGCCAGTAGATTGATAGGAATTCGAAGCAGTCCGGGACAAACGTGGCAATCCATGCCAATCCTGATCAGCTATGATGTGCCGTTAGTGGCTGTTGCGAGAAGCCCGACAACAATAAATGAGCCTTGCATGTTGTGGCAACATGATGAGGTGGGGTTTGGCCCCAAGGGCATGATCAAGCGTCGTTCTTCTTCAATAATTTCTCAGTTCTTGGTATTTGACTCAGCGCAGCAGCGATTTGTGGCTATGTCTGCGTCTTCGCTTGATCTGGTCATCTCCTTTGTTACCATATTCTTCCATATTCCCAACAGCAGTGACTCTTGGGTTGTCATTTTCCGGGTCTGGGAGTCTGGGAGTGGTGCGATTTTGTTTTGCCGAGCACCAAGACCGGAACGGAACCGCAACACTGGGAACCTGGGCTCTTGTGAAGATGAGTCCTGCAATATGAGCTGTGGATGTACAAGATCAAGAGGGTTCCATAACGTAACAGCACGTGCGAACCATGTAAAAGTTGAATGTTAACTAGCATAGCAAGTGTTAGTGAGCTTCAAGCTGCATTGCAAGCGCGAATTATTATGTTGTATTATTTTCAATATTTTTCAAGTACCATTGTTATTGCATGCAAGTTTCCAGTGGCGTAGCAAGTGCAAGTGGCACTTGTGGACGTGATTAGCCCACCTCACCCCAGCCCACCTTGAACCTAGCACATGCTGATTTCAACTCAACTTCAGTGTGTTGAAGTGCAAATGACAATAGCCTAGCATCATGTAGCATCATGTAGCATCTATATGTATCTATAGTATGTGTGGCTGTGGTGCAAGCGGTGCAGGTGAAGGTTTTTAGCTCCACCGGACTCCACCCCACACGCGGCGAGGCTTTCAGAAAGCCTCGCGACTGCTTCATCGAACATGCAATGAAGTTAACATGTGTCAAGACGGGTTTAATCACAATTTAATGGATTTTAATGGTGTTAACGGCGTTAATGAGCCATATATAATCATATGTATGACTTTAATGGTGTAACTCGGTGTAACTCATCTACGCCCGACGCCGATGCATCATTCCCCTTGGACACCTCCCCACGTCGCCCCGCTCTAGGGTCGTAGCCAAGTTTGTCCTTCGTTTCCACAGAAGCAGCGGCGGTCAGCAGCAGCTCTACCACCTTGATGTGGCAGTCCGTGAACAGCATTGGGTCTGGCATTGGGCCCTTCTCTGGAAAGCCTCAGCCGGTGCGGTCACACAACTCAACTGGTCGTGCCAGAGAAGAATTGTTGACAGATCGCACCTTGCCAAAGTAACTGACACTCACAAACCTCTCGTCGCTGTGCTCTGCCGCTAAAGGCAGCGCCGTCTTGCCTCGGCCACAGAGGCGATGAGACTCACTCGGGATGCCGAAGGGCCGAAGAGGATCGGATCAAAATGGATCCAATCTGCTTTTCAAACGAATCAAAAAGGAAACTTTTCTGCCAACAGAGCTTTCACTCATTTTCACTCCGTGTGCGGAAAGTGCCGAGGCTTGCACTCACTGGTTTGAACACAACAACGATCAACAACTTGCCGCAAGCGACTTTGAAAGGTGCATACCTCTATCGTCCTCCTATTGCTGTTCTGCTGCTTGGACAAAGTATGGTTTTGAAGCCAAACGACAGAAAAAGCTGCCTGCGAATATGTGTCCCATTTCTTGGAGAAAGACTACTATAAAACGGCGCAAATATTGGCGCTAAAACCTGCGGGGCAAACTTCTGGCAGAAACCCGGAGGCTTAGCGCAATTTTCTTTCCAAAATTGCAGTTTTTCTTCCATACCGCAGAAATCATTGCAGCTTCGGGAAACGACACTTGCTTCGCACCGCAGGGTATGCAGGGTGGTTATACGTATGCCTCAACACCCGGCGTTATACTCTAAAGGGATCTAAAGGGTGAAATAATGTAGAATAGTATTTGAGAGCACCGCGTGAGACGTGACTTCTACCCATTCATTTGCCATCATCATCATCATCATCATCATCATCATCATCTAGACAGAGAAAAAAGAGAAACATCCATTCAAACATATGCAAAACTGCCCCGCTCGAATCATTTTGTTGCTCGAAGAACGTGTTTTTCTGACGAACAAACATTGTGACATCTCAAATTTCCCAAAGATCTTTCCACTGACTTGCTGCACCGCTTCATTCTTGAGTATTCTTGGAGGACCATTCTAGCACAAAAGTGGAAGCTGCAAGAAAGTCTTGACATCGCAATCAAAAAAAAACACACACACACAAATTTCCAGCACAAATCAGCCGCGTCGGGTCACCCCTCTCCATGGCTGCCCCTAGAACATTGAAACCGTTGCCGGGGCTAAGGCCTTCATAGTTGGTCGCGTCCACCTTGGCTTTTGCAGAGATCAGCTTCTCGACCACAAAAGCGCAGCCATGGTTAGCTGCCGTATGCAGGGCCGTGTCGCCTTGGCCAGGGGAAAAAGTGACCGGAGAATGGATTTACTAGAAGGTTTTGCTGCTGGTTGATAAATAGATACAAATGCCATGTCAGCAGTGTTCAAAATCCTGATTTGCTGCTTTGTCTTGAGAAAAGGCTTTATACATCATTCATCATCACTCAAATTTCCGAAAAGGGCACACTTCCCACTGCTTTCCAGTGAATTTCTGCACCACTTCCTTGGCCCATGGGCCTTCACAGTCGGCCGCGTCCACCTTGGCCCCTGCGGAGATCAGCTTCTCGACCACGGCGCAATGGTCTTTCTGAGCCGCCCAATGCAGCGCCGTCTCACCTCAGCGCGACGACGTGGAGTTGACTCGCTCCGGGAAGGTGGCAGAAGCCCTTTCCATCACCACCTGGCTAAAGTAGCATTGCAGTGCCAGGGGAAAAATATGGAAAAATGCCAAGAACATCCAAGAACTGCATTTTAAATGTTTTAACGATACCCTAGCAAAAACCCGAGAAGGGGGCAAGCCAGACAAGGATCACAAGCGCAAGCTTGAATCGGCTGTGATGAAAGTAAAAGGATGTAGAAGGGACTGAGGCACTGCAGTACCGCAGCACACAATCTCCGACCCATGGGACTTTACAAATCGTGTCAGAGATAGAGCCCCGGACAAACGTGGCAAATTATATCCTGGTAGCTGTGACAAGAAATCGCAACCCATGATACGACATGTGAGCCGTGCCCATCATTGCAGCACATTTCAACACTGCCAAAACAAGAGTTTTTGGCAAACTGCAGCGGCCACACAACGGTGTACCCACTGGCTATTTAACATATAGCCATGGGAAATGGCCCATTTATAGAGGTTTAATTACCGGTTTACCTATTAAAAATGTTGATTTTCCATGGCTATGTTAAATAACCAGATGGTAACTCATGAAAACCTGGCACCTATCCATCCGAACATGCCCAGCTCTGAGGCCGTGACTGCATTTGCCCTTCGCGTGCACAGAGGCACCAGACGTTAGCAGCAGCTCCACCACCTCGACGTGGCCGTTCCCTGCTGCGTGCAGCAGCGATGTTCTGCCTCGGCCGAGATGGACTCACCCGGTGAACGTGCGTGTGGGGGATTGGGGAAAGAATATACCCTCTGGTTATGACTAACATAGCCATGGTATAGATGGCCCATTTATAGATGGTTTACCGTTCTTAAAAATGGGTGGATTTTCCATGGCTATGTTAAATAACCAGATGGTAGATGCAAGATACGGCAAATATAGGACTCACGACAGTCCATTTCACAAGGTGCGGCATCGCTGTGTGGCATGAGACATGACCTACGTGCGCCGTGCGCTTTTCATTTCAGCTGATGCAGAAATATCTCGTCCGCAGGTGCTGTTACCCCAGAAATCAAACATCAAACATGTCACTCGCCCACATCAGGATGGAAATAAAACAATCCAATCACACAAGATGGTCTATGTAAACACTTGACCGAAACAACGGGTGGTCCCTGTTGATGCACGCCTCGCCCATGTTGGGTTTTGTCAAAGCACATCCGTGGGTTTGGTTTAAAATGCAGAATGTGGACCACTGCTTCAGGCATTTTGGCCCGCCTGCAGAAGTCAAAATTTTGCAACTGGAGAAGAGACTGTTGATACCCTCTGGTAATTTGTTACATAGCTATTGAAAATGGCCATTTATAGTGAGTTTTCCCATTAATTAGTTTACCAGAGGGTAGGCCGAAGGTTTGCCCAACAAAATGTGTTGGAAACGGTTTCAGAATCTGATCGAAGGCGCCCTGTGTGGAGCTGTTCGTCTTCACAGCACCACTGTCGCTCCGCGCCAAAAAGAACAATTGGACAAATATGGGATACCACTCCTGACTGGCCTGACTGGTTCTCAACCCTGTTTCAAAGGCAAGAAACAATTAACGTGGGGTCCCAAAACCTTCGAAATCGCAGACACCCAGGAAAAGACATCACATTTTTTTGTTTAGAATTTTCCAAATCATCTACAATATTTCCAAGACATTGCCAAACCATGCCAAACCCATATCAAAACATATGAAAGCCTTCAAAAATCTTGTGGACATCCTGGACATTTATCGAATGGAACCTTGACATTTTACTCAATCTACTAGTCAGAAGTATCTCTGCTGGGTTCATCACTTGAGACATGCTCGGAAGGCCTTACAGTAAAAACCTTCCGGAGCATCTGTGCCAGATCCTGAATAAACGAATCACTTTCTTCAAGCGGGATCCCTAACATATCTGACATATCTAGAATTCTGTGTGGCATTTATCTATTTTTGTCTGCAATTCTGACATTCTATCTGGCATCATTTCTGGCATTCTTTCTGACATATATGCTGACATTCTAGCTGGCATTCTACCTGACAGGTCTTTTAACATTCTAATTTGGCATTCTTTCTGACTATGTGCTGATATTCCATCTGGCATTCTGTTTGGCATTTCATGTGAGTTTTGTTCTGACATTCTATCTGGCATTCTTCATTCTTTCTGGCATTCTATTTGACATACAGTCTAACATTCTGCCTGGAATACTATCTGGCATTCTGTCTGGCATTCTATCTGACATTCTTGCTGGCATGTGTTCAGGCCCATGCGTACCCAGCTGCGTGCCCCGAGTTTGCGACAGGGCTCCGCCCATATCCAGACCTATCCAGCCGGAGGATTCCAAGGATTCCGAGGCGCCGTAGAGTCCACCGCTGTCGACCCGCAGGAAGTGTCTCACCGCAGCAAGGTCGCCGTTCTCTGCGGCTTCGACGATGTTCCCTGACCCTCGGGACGATGACATCCAAACATATCCAAACCATCAATGGATTGGAAACCCGGAAACCCTGGATTTTTAGCCAAAAAATGCCAAACAAATATGGTTTGCCCCAGCAGATTTCCCTTTAAACCAATTCGGAATCTTGAACGACCATTCAAATTTCTATCAAACAGTGGAATATGCCAAGCCAGTGCATGCGGTTGCCTGATTATTTAATCAGACTGCTTGCATCTCTAGTTCTTAAATGTTCCTAACTCTAAGGAGCTCAATTGTTGATTCCAATACTTTGGCTCTTCATATGTTTTTGTTCAAGCCAAGGATGTGGATTGCCAAGCAAATATATAATATGTCCTCAGGTCCGATGACCCACGCGCTGAATCTAAGATCTTGACAGTCTCCAGCCGCCGCTTTGTCTGCCTGAAGGTAGGAGGGGTCTTCATAGGCAAGAAGAATTGAAGCCTCAGAATCCTCACTGTTTCTCGTGCAAAATGACCTCTGATACTTGCAGGCAACTCCGCATCAAGAATTGCCGTCAGCCAAGAATTTTGGCAAGCTCTCACACGCCTCCAGAATTTCACCCAGCTATGCTGAGTCTATGCTGAGTCTTAAAATTGAGCGACAACTAGTTCAGCGGAAAAAAATGGAAAAATCCTTGCGTTTCATACAGCTTGGGGTCACAACTCCTCACGTTTTGGGCACCTCTGTGGCGAGTTTCTCTGCAACTGCGGCCTCACTGTTGATGTTCAATGCTCGCACCGGTAGAGGAATCCCACAGAAATGTCACCCCAACGAGATGTGGTGAGATTCATCAGCACAATTGGGTCGAAACTCGGGAAAACCTCCTTGTTTCTCTCATTTTCCACCAGGAAACATGATATCATCCCATGTTGTTCGATTTTAGGGATATGGCCTCGGGCCTAGGGTACATATCCCCATCGAACAACATGGGATATCGCGGGCTTTGGTCCCCTGCCTGGAAGGACTTGGGCGAAGCGAGTTTCGGCTCCGTCGATGGATCAGAGGGATGCCTCAGGTTGGGAATCTGAAAGATGTTGGAAGTCTTTGAAAAAAAAACCACTTGGGTGTACAATCATCCACAAATGCTTGGAGCTTGAAAGCCCGGATCAAGCACTAAGCAAACACGCACGACATTACACCCCCATAAAATGCAGTGATTCTAACTGCTCCACAGCAGACTGATTTCTTGGTTTCATCACATTTACAGCCAAAATAGGCGTTGTCATAAGCTTAGTATTCCCAGTTTGTGCAGCGTTGTATGGGTTGGAGTTTGGAGTTGTATTATCCCATTGAACAAAGCAGGGAAAGAACGTCTCGAACATCCAGTCGGGTTTGTTCAAAAATCGAATGCCTCGTTTCCATTCCTGTCCTCTGGTTGAATTTTCCCCCATTCTTCAGTCGTGGCATTGTTTGGATTATCCTCCATATCTTGTCAAACCCAAATGATGCAATGATGGATTGCCTAAAAATGATCTGAAAATTCCACCATCCCAGGATGGTTTGACTCGAATTTGTCCCCCAAAAAACAATTCCCCGGGCCCGAAACTCATGATATTCTCATAATTCATGGTGAAATCCGGCCTGTTTGATGCTGGTAAATCCCCATTTTGGCTGGTACATCCCCTGCATCCCGCGACCGAGTCTGCCGACTTCTCGGAATCCGTGGAGACAGCCGGTACAGCCTAGCCACAGGCGCAAATTACCGTGAGAGTCCCCACATAACAGGGCCAGTAAATCATAGTAAACCATCAAAAATGGTGGTTTAACCATCTAAACCACCAAAAATGGAGGTTTAACAGTCTAATCATCCTAAAATGGAGATTACTGAGGGGTAATTACCCTTCTATCCATGATATGTCAAGGTAAAAATGGCATAATTACTCTGGCCTGACACCCCGGTCTAAAAATAAACTCTATGGCGACGTCGCGGTGATTCTATTCTCCTTCATCCAGATTTATGAATCACTGAGTGAGCATGGACATGCATGAAAAATCATGAAAAGAACATCCGAGGTTTTAGCAACTCATGCGCCTGACAGAACTCAAAATGAATGGGGATGAATAAGTTACACCAGTAGTGTCGGCATGAAGCGGGCCAGAAGGTGTCCTGGGGACATTTATATGAGTTGCTGGCGCGACCCAGCCGTTCTGTCACGCAACAACCCTTCGATTGTTGGCTTCAAAAAGAGACTAAGTAGCATATAGGGATAGAACCTACCACCATTTTCAGATAATAAACGATCCACGATAATCAAGCTGTGTCGGTATTTGCTGTGTGTTCCGAGGTTGCTTCAGTGTCGTATCTTAACACTTTTGGTCCGCACATGTCAGCGCCCTAATCCACCAATTGGGGATGGGCAGCTGGAAAAACTCAGAGTTTTCCACATACCTTGAAGATGATCATAGATGAGACCCAGAAAAAAACATGTGGGCATAGATGACTCTCAATGATTTTTCAGCACCACTGCACCAACTGATCCTATTTTTCTTCACCTCAAAGTCTGCGGAAGTGGACCATGGCCTGCAGTTCCTTCACTTGCTTGCGGAGAGTGGAGGCCTGGCCCAGTTGGAGCCCAAATGGCGATGGGGTGATAAGCCACAACCCACTCCTTTTTGGTAAAAGAAACAATGTAAGGTGAATATGGATTGATTTACTATAATTATATATAATATTATATACAGTAATATATTGGATTTGCCACATTACATCATGACATCAAGAAGCATCTCAACAGATTCTCCAAAGATCCAGCAAAGCACGTCTGATGCGATTGATTCGGACTAGAAATGATACCAACCAGTTCCTGCCTCTTCTTTGGACTGGTCGGCAACGGCCTCAGCGGAAGAGAAGCACTCTTCAGAAACATCAGTCAGCAAGACTAAGTAGTGGTGCGGGTTGCAGTAGGTTAGTTACACTTAGGTCTGCTGAATCAGATCAATATCAGAGATTATTCATGATTATTCTCAAGAAAAGCTTTGAGAACCTGCATGTCTGCAGCAAAACATGAAAAACACCCCTCAGAAACTATGGTGGGTGTAGGAGATGACATCACAGATTTGGGACCATGGAATGGGAGGTGTTTAACGAGTGGGTTGGAATTACCTAGAACTTGCCAGAAAATTCGTCCCGTCTAGAGAAACTTCCGTGTCTGGCATCCCTTCTTTCCTGCTGTGCCTGAGAAACAAGTTGCATCTTAGTCAGGAAGCACAAGAAGTCCATACATACAAACACATCATCTAATATTGTATCATATGTGACTCAAAGCAATATCTCCATCTATCTATCAAATATATATATATATATCATTTTAACATCATGTATACAACATTATAGTTATCTGCAAGTTCTATTTCTTAAATATCATACAAGTAACTCCATTAATTACAGTACAAGGTGATACTTCCGAGTCCTCCCCTTCCGGCCATAGGAGAATCCCTCGCCTGCAGTTCCTGCGATTCCTTCCGTAGAGTTGTGACCTGCAGAACGTGACACAGAAGTCACTTTCCCTGTGGCTTTGGTATCTACATTAAAATAAAACAAGAAACCGTAGGAAAAACATAGGGAAATCTACATAAAGTTTCCCATTTTGACTGGCCTAAATATAGATAATATATAATTATATATATAATATATAATTATATATATATGGTTTCTGTATCCCCAAATCCTTGAGCGATTTTCCACCTTTCATGGATCGAGGAGCTGCTTGAAGATTTTTGTTCAGGGAAACTTGGGGGTTGTAGATGTCCAACCATTTCTTGAAGGCACCACATGCAAATCACATGGTATTGCCTGATCTTCTTGCTGGTTGGTGGTATACCTGTGGTTTCTATACTCCTCTGAAAAATATGAGTTCGTCAGTTGGGATGATGAAATTCCCAGTTAATATGAAAAAAATATTTTTAAAAAATATTCAAAACCACCAACCAGCTTGTATGCATGAAATATATATTAATATATATATATATGAAATAATTGATCATGTAATTATATGTAATTCACAAATGCAGCTCAGCTGACCGTTGATGAACTGTACTAACTATACTCGCACCTCTTCTTCCAGCTTTTTGGACTTGTCTGCACTGGCCTAACGAGCTAATCGGGGAATCACAGCAGGATCAATCCATGGCTGTTGTGAAAATTACCAAGCAGTGTAACGGATACCCTCTGGTAAACATACAAAAAACTATGGAAAATCACCATTTTTCATGGGAAAACTCACTATAAATGGCCATTTACAATAGCTATGTTACTATGTTAAATTACCAGAGGGTATGCATCCAGGATCATCCAGGCGTCCTGACCTTTTCAGAAAGAGTCAGCTGTAAAAATTCCAAAATGTTCCACTTCCCCATTTTTGCGACTCTTCGTCACGCAGTTTTCCAGGAGGAAAGGTGCATAAAACCACATCATGTTCAATGTGGTGCCCTCACACAGGTAATCAAACCTCACCTTCAGTTCTTTCTCTTTCTTCCTCAAAGTCGGAGCCTTGCAAAATTCAGCACAAAATTCTGCGAAACGATGGAGTGATGAAAGTGGTCATCTAGCTAGCTGCCATTATCTAGATTATCTAGTAAAATTTGCACATACAGCCTGCCCGAACATGGTAGGCTGCGGCATTGACGCAGCACACACGCATCTGTTCATCATGATTGGTGCTGCACAACCTACACAAACCTGAGCAATGACATGAGCACCTAGTTTTCAAGAACTCTTCTGCTGAAATTTCGCTTAATCCTACCTGCTTGGTAGTTTAAAGTTTAAACCGCTTGAAACATATCTTTTTTCATTGTTCCATTGTTGATGTTTAATCCACCATCTTGCTAGCTAAACTCTCCAATTTATGGTTGCTGAAACCTACCCAAATACATCCAGCTACCCTTGTCTGTTATATATGTATGGGAGAGAACAGTCCGAAATCCTATGTCCATACAGCTACGACATCATTCCTGATTCCCGTTGAAGGTGGATAACTGCAACTGTGGTAAACCCAATGATCCGCCATCCCAGCAACCAATTGGTGTCGATTTTACATTCAAATAGGACTCGGCACCAATTTGTCTAACCAAGACTGATCATGAGTATGTGTATGTCATCCTACCTAATCATATGATCTTCAATCTGGCTTATGCCATGATTATCCCATAATTTTCCTTAGACCCTTGAAGAAAAAACACACACGTCTGCCCTGCCGTTTGGCCGTGCCAGGTCGGCCTGCACAAGGGCTTTGTCCAGGGCCGCTTCCTGACACGAATTGAGTAGATTTCCACTTGTAATTTGCAATGGATAGAAAGGGTTAGCACATTAATTTGGGCAAAACAATCATAAACCATCCACCAAATCACCATAAATAGGTGGTATAACCTTCCCAAATGGGTGGTTTATTATTGTTTTTTTCCCCACATTATAAGGTTCGTAATGTTAGTAGAGCAATAAACCAACATGATTTACCCACACTACAACCCTTCCACAAATTATAATCAATGATAGTGAAGGGTTATGATTTCAGTATAGCAATAATAAACCATCCATATTTTGACTGTTTAGATCAGCCATAAAAATGGTAAGACTGGGGATGCTGCATCCTATTACGTTACCAACATTACGGTTGGATCATATTGATGGATATTGATGGGATATATTAGTGGGCGATGCCTTGTATCTTTTCGTGGGAAACTCAGTTCATAGTTCCAACTGACTCCCCATTGTTCATAGGGAATGTGGATGCCCAATCTGCTAACCGCTCCCTCCATTCACCAGTCTTGGAAAGCTTTTTGGATCACGAAAACTGATACAATATAATTATATGATGATAATTATACGTTAATATACAAAGTGGAATGATGATCCCATGTTTGCTGGGTTTAAGATGTGTTCAGTGTATGTACTTCAGTTGGATCAGATGGTTCCAAACGTTGCATCCGGCGTGAATCTTCAATGTGGGTCACAGAAGGTATGTTCAGAAGCAGAAATTGGGAACCAGATGGAACCAGCAAAATCAAAGAAATTCCACCCAAAAAACGGCAGGGAAATCACCAATTCCATCAACGAGAACATCGTCCTTGAAGCAACAAGCGACCAGTGCATTCCATGGGATTTGACCATCAACGAAAGAGTCATTAAGAATCATTAATAATCACTAATAATGTCTAAATGATCATATAAATAATCATTAATAATCATTAATGGCATCAATGCGATTTGAGCCATTAACGACAACATCTATGAGATTCATTGGGTCACCTGGATGATTGGGCCATCACCGGGTCATAGGGAAATCCCCAAGTCACCATGGCTGAAAAAATGCTGCGCCGTGGTCATGACTTGGATGATTTGGGGATGCCCCCATGGATTGGAAACCTCCATATTGCAACCCCTTAAAAGCATTAAAGTTACCCTCTGGTAATTTAACGTAACTATGGAAAATCACCATTTTTCATGGGAAATTTCACTATAAATGGTGATTTTCCATAGTTACGTTAAATTACCAGAGGGTATAAGTTATAGGCGATCAAGGGGCAGACCATATCCATTACAACCACTAGAGGCAATATTTCTTGGATGGTCAGATGGTCATGACAGTTTTCATTGGGTGATTACAGCCCTTAGCGATGGTGCTGGACAACGTTCAATATCAGCTGAGTCAACTGAGCATGCATTTGTTGTTGAATCTGTACATCTATCCATTTTGAGCCATGCTCATGCTATGGACATCTTCAGGACACTCGAGCCGAATTTACGGAACCTCACAACCCACGTCTTGGCTGCATATTTCCCGATGTTCACTATTTTGTTGGTCAACTGATCAGTTAAAACATGTTAAACCATGTTAAATCATGTTAAATCCCTGTTATGATTGGTTATATCCCAAATTCTTCGCTGAGTGAAAACTCCTTGAGGACCCACCACAGGATCTTCGGCAGCTACCGCACAGTTCCACAGTTCTGGCCTCCTCCTTGGTCAGTTCATAGGCTGAGGAACTGCCACTGCCCATCCTGATTCAGGAGACTGCGGCTGCTTTTTTCTGGTGAAGATTCCCGAGAATCTGAACATCTAAAAACAGAAAGGGAAAAATGGGACATGGGCAGACTTTCAATCCTAGACTCCTAGACCTTGAGCTCGGCAGATTCTTCTTCTGTGCTTGAAATTCACATGGCCATCTTGTCCATCAGCTCTCATTTGCCCTGATTCCCCAGCGTCTGAAGCACCACACCTGATGAATTGGGCACAGCGAGGCTTCACCCAAACTCCGATAGCGCTGAGGCGAGGCACAGGCACCACCGCTGCAACGGTGACAGATCTGCGCAGATGTTTGGAATGGAAAAAAATAATCAGAAGTGATTAGAAATTACATTACTTGCTTTTTTTTTGCGTGCTGAACATGTTGAACTCTTGAAACTCGTCCCTTTTGCGATGCATCTGGGGCAGTCCCTTGGGAGTTCCTTCAACGACTGATGAAGTTCTTCTGCCTTCACGCGCGGGAGAACTGTGGAGCCGTAAAAAACTGCGCAGTGCATGGCACCATGACCACAATCTGGCATGGGTTTGTCCAAGATTTCAGGGGTAGCATCGTGGTTAATGTTCGGGTGTTCGGGTATAAGATTCCGGGGATATAATCATCTGTTATAATTTCAGGGGTATAAGGATGGTATAAGACTATAAGATTTCGGATGTACCCCAATGCAGTCATCGTGTTCCTCATTGAAATACAATGTCGTCATGTCATCTCTCATCCCACTAACAAACACATCTGACACAGGATATTTCTGTTTGCAAAATGACTCATCAACAAAGTGCCCCTTGAGACTTGGACTTTGCCAGCCTTAAAAACGATATTCATTTTGCCCCCAAAAAAATGAGTAATTATCCCGCTGACACAGATCTTTTTCCACAGGGCGACGTCCACGTCGTGGCCTCCGGCCGGGTCCACGGCGTCTCGCGACGCCGCTGCTCCGGGTCCACGTCGTCCACCTCGAGGTGGGTCCAACTGCTTCTCAAGGCCACCTCTGCTGTGGCATCCCGACATCCCCCAGTGGAGGCGAGGACCGGTCCCAGTGATCATCCATAGATGGGAATTTCCATGAAATAAACCATCCATCTGGAAAAATCCCCCCATTTATGGAGACCCCCATGTTTTATACTCAACTAATAGGCACCTTAGGTGTCATTCGTCAGAACCTTTACACCTGGTGGATTTGTTTAGTTTGTCTCGCTCAAATCATCACTGAAACAACACTTCAGTTTGCCAAATCAGCGACAAGACATTTCACCTAATCTCCTAAGCTTAACAAAATGTGGAACGACCTCCCAACACTACTTCATTCAATAAACCAACAATTTCACCCAAATCCATTATCCTATCCAAAAGTAACATAGTGTCGCCAAATCATGACTAAAGTATAGCTTTACTATCTAAGCTAGCAGGACTGTCTTCACAAAATCCTCAGACATTCTATTGTAATACTGAAGCCTCGAAGGTTTCAGTTCTTTATAGTTCTTTGATCAACTTGTCATCCTATGTCATCCTCATGCTCGAAGGCACCGGACTTCAGAAGCAGCTCGACCACTTCGACGCGGTCGTTTCGGCCGTTTCGTCGTCGCCAGGATCAGCGGCGGGAAACGCCTGGGGTGAAATTTGGGGGGTTGGGGATAGCAAAACACAAAACACCAGCCAGCAGCTTGACATATTTCAACCATGTTCAAACCTTTCCATTGCAAGCTTCTGAAATGCTTCGAAAGCCCCACCCGAAATCACACATCAAACATTCCCCTTCGCCGGATTCCGAGGCAGCCAAGAAACATCCAGAAACGGATTCTTGCTCTCCAGGCTCTAAGGGTCAACCTTAGAGATTTCCATTTCCGCATTTTAAGACCATTGAGCATTGGAAATGTGGTTTCAAAATCTATCCCAAATATTCCCAAATCACAGCATTGAAGTCGTGATCAAGTCTTAGACCATCACATCTTCTCGTTGCGAGGACAAGGTGAACTTTTCCTCTGAGTCCAACGCCAGACGACAGCTGCCTGAGCCCCGTTGACGATCGCCGATGCAAATAACTTGGTGAACTGTTGGCTTTATGGAGGCACTGCTATAATATGCTTCAAAAAAACCGGGCCCACCCTGTACGTAGGGATTGTTCAATTGGTCGCACTATTCTCCAAAAACCATCGCATGGCCATTGGCTTATCCCTATTCCAGGCAGATCTCCATAAATTCGTGCAGGCGCTGGCAGAAGGGATCAAAGCCCAGGTAAATCCAAGTTATGAATCTCACAATCCCATTTTGAACCATCATATTACTGTAACAGTCAAATTAAATAAATCCCATATTTTGATGGGTCAAACAATATCTAAAAAAATGACAAAAATATAGTTCTTTTGTGATAGTTTTCTTGCAGGGGCCCTCCAGTTGTGAGTTACCCAAATCTAAAATAATACAAATATGTCGATATATCCACCATCAATCCAATAGCTAGGCAGAACATGAACCAACAGAAACGTTTCTCGTCATTCCATTAAAAAAAAAAAACGGTTTTACGTGGTTGATCACCTGAAAGCCCAATAATCAATAGTAAATCTCATTTTTCCGTGGGATTACATCACCTTAAATCTCAATTTCATTGGCTTAAAACACCCATTTACCGATGGGGACCTCCTCAGCTGAGAGGCTGCAGAAGTGCCACTAGCCATCCTGAAAGCAGTGGGATTTGGGCGTAACGCTGTGAAAACAGGAGGTATCTAGCCAGGATGGGGACAAAATGGGAATACCAAACCAGCCACGACGTAATGGGATATCATTGATATCACAGGAAGTGGGATACAACCGGAAACAAAAAAGGGCCATGGAAATGTTCATAACTTAATAACCCTTCCGCGTGACTATTCACAAGGCCACCATAGGACACCTCTGACTGATCAGAACTGATCATCTCATCTGTATCTCAAACTTTGAGATTTCATGCAAGTTCAGCTGATTCAGCTCAGCTCACCAGCCTTTGAAACAAAAACCTGGGTACCCTCTGGTGAACTAACATAGCTATGGAAAATCACCATGCTATTAATGGGAAAATCCACTATAAATGGTGATTTTCAATAGCTTTTTGTATGTTCACCAGAGGGTATAAACACAGTCCCCAGTATCCTCAGTAAGGTTGTTGATTTCTCCATCTCAGAACATCAGCCCCCCCTGCCCCCTTCCAGGCTCCAATTTCCTTGGACTTCGCAAAGAGCCAATGGCAGTAGACTTCGAGACTACGACTAACACCGGGCATGTCTAGGCGAGCTAAAAAGGGGTTGTATGCTCAACGGAAATGAGAACTTCATGAACAAGAATTTAGATGTAACATGATGTCGTAAGAGGATATGATAGAAAACAGAACTTCAACCTTTGTTCATCCCGAGAATGGGACGTTTCTTCTTGGAAATGGGAACAAACAATAACAAACATATATTATATTGTTAATATGATTGTTCTCATCCACAAAAGGATCCACTCTTGCCGCTCTTGGATCAGTTCCACTGCCAGGCATTCCATGACTCCAAGACATCCTCTTTTCCCTTCAGGAAGACCACTTGCAGTGCGATGCTTCACCGTTCGGTGAGTGAAACACAGTGCAATCTGGTGAAACAAGCTGATGGATATGCACTCCGAACTTTGGGAGCTTATGCGATCTCCCAAAGAAAACCTTTGGGAGCAAAGGGCGGGGAAATACGCTCACCACACCCATGCAACTGTAGCAACGAATGTTACTGATGGTGCTATAATGTGGGATAGGACAATTCATGGGCACTTTGGAGTTGTTGATTATTTATTTATTTCCTCTATATCTAGATGCAGGTCAGTAATATGTCAGTCATATCATTTAAACTGAACATGCTGGGACCCATTCCAGCCGGCCAACTGGCACGCTGCGGAACTGTTTGAAGCTGCCTGAGTTGTTCCAATCAAAAAGGTGGATCTGACGATGGGGAAAAGAAACCAGGCAGACACCCAAACAATTCCGACTTACATTACTTGTCTCAGGCTAATACCAGGTGGTGTCCCCTCAGTTATGTTTGTTGGCTTATAAACCCCATCAACTATAGTGATACAATTAGTCGCACCATAAACCCTAATTCTAGTTCTTCTTCGCACCAACTTGTGTAACATAAATCAACGCTAAATCCTCGGTGGTTAAATCATGTAACAAATTCCCGTTTTTTGGTTGGTAAAAAATCTAACTGCGGTCGCACCACCTTGTAGCATAGAGAGTCCCCGTTTCTCATCTGATGCATCGTCTGTTGAGATCAGGCCTCAGTGTGACCGGTCAAGCCTATGACAAACCCACCGTTTGGGGATGATTTTTACAGCCATTTTTGGTAATCTTGGGAGTGGTTTACTATTGGGTTTACACATTATAACAAGTTTCCAAACCCCAGATTTTGCAAGAACCCCCCTTACTGTTGGTCATTGATGATCATTAGGGTGGTGCAATTTGAGTAGCAAAGCATCACCTTTTTTTGATGGTCACTCTCCTAATTTTCCTCATCCCATGGATTCTGGATCACTTTTTAACATCAGAACCCCCTTTGGATATCCCAAGGAACTGGTTTCAGGAGGTCCATCACCTTCTGGTGGCCCTCATTCTTGGCGAGGTCGTAAGCTGTTTCTCCTTGGACGTTGACAAACCGAAGCGCCAGAAAGTTGGGGCCCGATGGACCTTCCGAGCATTTTTTGTGGCGGTTGATCAACCATAGGAATTTGACATTTGAGGTACCCGACTCACTGGTAGAACATTGCGGATGTGGACAGAAAACCGACTTTGATGAAAATGATGAAACACGTGAGAACTACATGGGAAGTGTGCTGGTCTCTTTGCCAAACATCTGAGGGCACCAGTCTGGAAGGAAAACAGCACAGAGTTCAGGAGAAGTTTCTGGATTTCAAGAGCTTCTGCAGTCTGAAAATTGGGACCGAAGCCGTTCCACCACAGCTCCTGTTTACTGGATGGTGGCATTTTGATATTGACTTTCAAGTATCTGGTCAAGTCTGCGAAAATAGAAACAACATCAAATCACGAACCACATGAATCTTTGCAAGAAATTCATTGCATTCCACAACTTTCAATCCCTACTGACAGCATTTCTATCTATATTATAGATTATGATGATTCCATTCCACAAAACCATTGCAATTTCAAAGAGAAGGCCAAACTAAAAATCACAAAACAAAGATCAAACCACTTAGTCAAATTAGTTCTCCTCGCCAAGTCTGCTTTGCCCTCTGTGGGCAAAATGGAACTGTGATTCGCCATGTCTAAAAAGCAAACTGTAACAGATTTTGGTAAACCCCAAGTTCATCAGTTTACTATCAGGTAGGTTACCAATTTTCATCGGACTTTCTCACACTTTTTTGGGTTACACCCCCAAGTACGAACTTCCTATGAACATACAGCCGAACAACGCCCCTAATAGTTCATTGCAGCCAAATTTATACTAAATCAAAATAGATAAATTAGATATCATGTATTAATAAAAACTAATAAACCAATATAAAACCATCATTACCAGTTCGTCTTCAACGGATCCCCCCAATCAATCGACACCAGCAGCCGCCAGTCCCGGTCCCTGAGGCCACGGCCTGCACCATTGGTCGCGTCCACCTTGGCGCCCGCAGCGATCAACTTCTCGACTACTTCGGCTTGGCCGTTCCAAGCCGCTGCATGCAGCGGCGTCTTGCCTCGGTACAAGGCGTGGCGGTCAGTGTGGCTGGGCGAATCCAGAAATCCAAAGGTGTTTCGGGTTGTCTTGGCTGGATGCTGAAGAATTTGAACACACAAAAACCAGCGTGATCAGTGCAAAACAACATGTGTTCTCTTCTCTTGTCTTACAAAGAGTTGGGCCTGACGTTCCCAAGATTATGCTTCACCTGCTTTAGGTTTGCGATATACCTTCGGAGTATCCAAGTGAACCATATCGCATTCGCATGTCTGCTTATCTCTGATATTTGGCATTATTTCGCTGAATGTTGCAACCCAACAAAATTTGCATCAGCACCTTCTAGCAAGCATCACATTATACTCCTCCCTCCTGCAAAAACACCACCCATCATTCGCAAAAACAACTCCGATTGGCTTGTCTTAATTAGAATCAGAACGAGTTCGGCATAAAGGCAACTCGGTGTAAGGCAAGGTATAGTTCCTCTAACATATAATTAAAGTTATACATTGGAACATCAACATACATCAACCATCAGATCTTCCCAAGATTCCCCTGGCCCTTGCCGTTGAGGCCGAGGCCGTTCTCACTCTGCGCCCCCACCGAAGCGCCAGATTTCAGGAGCTGCTCGACCACAGAGACACAGCCCCTCTCAGCAGCATCGAACAGCGGCGTCTGGCCTCAAGGGAAACGTCCATTGATTTCACATGATTTGGCTCAAGATTTGAAGATGTTTGAAAATGTGTGAAGGTTTCAGCGGTTTTGAAAAGAGTGTCTTGTAAGTGGTTTGATCCAAGGGTAACCACATTCAGCCTGTTGGGCACAGCTTCACAAAGTGCATATTCCTCAACATCAATAGGGTATTTCCATGCGAAAAGTAGTGTCGTTTTTTCTTTGTCATGTGATTCATGGTTCTTTCTGTTGTGGTAAACAAGACCTAGGATAAATGGACCCAATTCAAAACATGCAAAAACAAAGAGGGAAAAAGAGACAAACCAGAATCAAAGGTCAACAAGTGCCTTGGGGGGGCAATCTTGCAATTCGTGTGCATGTTTCGTGTTTTTTTCCGCATGTGGCACATGTTTTTTTCTGTGGTAAACATAACCTGCAAACAAAAATGCCACATGCCAAAAAAAGGAACCAAAAAACAGTACAAACATCCCACATCACAATACACAATTGCAATACCAAAACAGAAAAAAAACAGAAAGAACTTGAAAAGAACATATATATTCTAGAACATATGCATGTATAAATATAATAAATTATAATAATATATATTCTGACCTCAGTCCGCTTGGTTCTTCCTAAGCTCCGCATTTCTTGGTGGCTGAGCTGATCAGCTGAGGCCGCGGCCAAAGCTGTCCCTGGCCTCCACGGAGGCTCCAGACTTCAGCAGCTGCTCCACCACAGAGACGTGGCCGTAGAAGGCGGCCTTGAAGAGCGGCGTTTGGCCTCGGCCACAAGGTGGTGCCCAGTTATAAGTTGGTTTATATATAACCAGTTTGTAGGGAAAGGAGAACCTTTGGATTGATTGTTTTTTGTTTTTTCTAGTAAGGGAAACTTTTCAGTGACTTGAGTCTTGGTTTGAAGGTTTCGGGGGTTTTGAGAAGAGTATTGCAGTACAGGTTTGATGCAAGCGTATGTCAATGTCCTTTGAGCCTGGTGGGCAAATGTTCGCAAAGTGCGTTCCTCAACATCAGCCGTTAGGCAACAAGGGGGCCAGGTCCTAAGCCTGCCCGCAACGGTTCTCTTTTCTAGTTATATTGAGAATTGTGGTCATTGGAGAAAATGATGCTTGACAACTTGACAACAATAACATGTTTTTTCCCAGCAAAAAGCATTGCCGATGATCGAACTGATGTTGTCATCCCAATGGCTCCATGGCCCCATGGCCCCATGGCCCCATGAACCAAGGCGCCGTCGCCGGTGGTCGCTTCCACCTTGGTCCCCGCCGAGATCAGCTTCTCCGCCACCGCGGCGCGGCCCTCGCTGGCGGCCCAGTGCAGTGCCGCGACGCCTTACTGGGCGAAGCCGTGGAGGTTTGGGAAATCCATGGGCGATGGCTATCATCAGTCATGGTAACATTGGTAAACCCCTCATAAAGATGAAAAAGAAAATATCATCACTATACACTTTGATGGGATTGTACTTTTTTCTTTTTGCCTTACTATATACCATAAAGATCCATAAAGATCCATAAAGTATACGGTAACTACATTGAAATATACGGGATGTTAAAATATACGAACAGGTATTTTCAACTACCTCCGGGAAGGGTTTCCTTGGCGCCCGGCCATTTAAACATACAGAATCCAATTCATTTAAACATACGGTAACTACATTTAAATATACGAGCTGGTATTTTATACTGCCTCCTGGCCCTCGCGGTCTGGCCCGCCCTCCACATATTTAAATGTCGTTACCGTAAAGTAAACCAACAAAAATATGGGAAATCATCGAACTAGATGGTGGATTTTGCATACCCATGGGTTTACATCCATGCAAATATGAGTTCAGCTTTGTATGATACCATTTGCCACACTCATTTTCCAAAAGATCCTGCAAGCTTAACAGATCTACATGGATGATTCGGTTCAATCAGTGGACCCAGAAAATACCCATGGCTCATGGAATCGACCTGGGTGACAGTGTGGATGATCACAATTCTGTGGCGGGATATGTTCAAAATGTTCAACGATTTCTTGGATCGCAACAAAAAACAAAAGGTGTAACTGCAGAACAAAATAATGCAAGCGGTTCGGCTCAAACACATCATCACAATTGGCAGGAGGCAATGCTCGTTCTTTCTAAGCTCGTGTTTAGTTTAACTCATCGCACCTGACAGGGATTTGGTTCTGCATGCAAGCTCATTTGTGTTTCGCATAATCTGCTTACAGTATGAAATCCAGGCACGTTGATATGGAGGCCTGAAACAAAAGCCATATTTCTGTTGTGGTCTTTTCGGGTTTTGGGCATGGTAAACAAAACCTGCAACAAAATGCCGAATGCATCCAAATGCAAACAAGTGGGTGGAAAACCAAACAACGACTTCTAGTTTCAGACTTTTTGTTTTGTAGTTCTGCGATGCGGAGATGAAACCTGATCTCCACCCAGCCCATTCTGGCGAAACCATTCAGCCCCGGGGCCCCGGCCGAATTTGTCCGCTTTCTCCACGGGGGCGCCCGACTTCAGCAGCAGCTCGACCACCTCAATGTGGCCTTTACTGGCTGCCCAGTGCAGCGGCGTCTGGCCTCGGGATAGCTGTCGATCTGAAGGATCATGATTGAAGACACGACGTGGGAAACCATGGCCTGCCTGATCCAAGACTAAAAATAATGATCTCTCAGTTTTCATTGTGGTTTTCGGATAGAGATATTTATATAGTTGAAATCGATTCAATCCGACAAATGTGCTTTGACACTTTCCATCCGGACAAGTCACAAAAGAAACAACTTCTCCAATCATACTCATCACTCATGTCTGCACCAGCATCATCATTCACACAGCGAGAAGACAATGTTAATCAAGTGTGGCCGTATCGAATTCGTTCTATCAGAACAACTCAGCACATATATGAAACAACTATCATCAAACCAATTCCCTTCATTTTGTTTCATCCAGATAACTTCGCGCAAGAAAAGGCAGCTTATCATCAGACCTTTTCCCCACCCTTCACCTGGCTGCAGCTTCCAACCCTCAGCTGAGGCAGCTGCCACTGTGATCCGTCGCCTCCAGGGAAGCGCCGGACTTCAGCAGCAGTGCCACCACCTCGCTGTGGCCTTCCTCGGCCGCCATCAGCAGCGGCGTCAGACCTCGGCCGGGCACGGTGGGTGCCGCACGAACTTGGCAAATGGCTTGGGAGTTTTGAAAGGTTTGCCCTCAGTGAGTTGAATTGACATTGGTGGCCCTGTCATTGTTTCTGCCCTATTGTTCAAAAATGTTCAAAACAGTTTTTACATAATGTCTTTTGCGCGATGACTGAACCATTGTCTTTCCTGTCAGCTGTTGCAATGTCAAGCACGTCTACCCCATCAAACACTCACTTCTGCGTACAAGCGCTTTCCTAAGAGAGGAAAACAGACAATCCAATCGCAGGCGGCTGTGCACTGCCAGGTTTAAACCAATCGAAGGTGGGAAATCGGAAGTCTACTTGTGCCTCCATTGCACTTTGGTGATGTCGCATCATCAGACTTCCGATTTCAAACACATGGTGACACATCAGAACAATCTCCTTACAAAGCACGGACAATATCCAGCTTCGCTAGTTCAGAGGCTCTCACCCTGTTCCTTTCTCTCGAGGCTATCAGGCTCTGCACCTCAGATCTTTCAAAACTCCGACTGAAAACCCAGGAGGCAAAACAAAACAGTAGATTCTCTTGAGAATAGTATCAAGACAAAAGTACAATCTCAGAACATTACAGTACCATAGTTCTTTTTCAGATGCATTCTCTGCAACTGATTGTTCTACAAGATATTAAAAGACAAGATATTAAAAGACAGTATCTAGCTATATTTCAACAAGAGCTAGGCCAAAATCATCCAAAATCATCCAATGTCAAACGCCGTCTTCCGCTGATCCGTTCTCTATAAATGCAACGTGCTTAGGTCTGTGCGGAGGAAATGTCGTACTGCAGCAACGTTGCCCTTCTGTGCGGCCTCACAGATGTTCTCACCTCGAAGAACGACAAGCCCTGGCCCAACTAACAGGAGGGTGTACCCCAAAAATAGATAGAAATAGTATAATATCAAAGTTCGTACATCCCCGCCGTATCAAACATTCTTAAACTGGTGGTTCCTTAAAACCATCCAAGGGCTAAGAAAGAATGGAAAATCACCATGTCCTGCTCTTTGGAGCTTTCTTGCTTCTTGCTTCTTGACTGCAGCACTGTGGGTCTTGATTGAATTCTTTAAACCTAGGGATGGGGATTCGAAACGATATATGATGTATATTTACCCTCTGGTTATTTAACATAGCCATGGAAAATGACCCATAGAAATAGATGGTTTACCGGTTTACCTATTAAAAATGGTGGATCTTTCCATGGCAAACTGTTAGTCATAACCAGATGGTAGGAAAAAAACAACACAAATCGGTGAGGTCTTGACATTCTTCTGCAGCGGCTCTGTCTGCCTACACAAGGCAGGCTCTGCATAGAACTTCAATCGATTGATGTGCAGAGATGGAAAACATATGGAAAACTCTAATTGATTTCTGTGCTCAACTTCGCATTCTGCCTAGATGGGAAAAATATGGAAAAATGCTAAATGGCTTTCAACAAGTTTCAAAGAAGAGTTTTGACAAGGCTCCAACGCAGCTTTCACAGTTTTAGCAGCCGAACATCGCCAAATCCCGGGCTTTCAACGACGCTCAGCCCTTAATTAATCTGAATATAGTTGGACCACAGCTACTCTCCCCACCAAAAGTACGAGTACCTATGTTTCAGTGGGTCTTCTGCAAAAAATGTAAATGTCAGGTAGATCATGGATGACAGTAGCTAATGTACCAGAGCAAGCACTGTCTTCCACAGTCACAGTGGCACCTCAGGGTCTATTGGCGCAGCTTTTTCGGCCTTGCCCAAGCATCAAACATGCGGCGACGTGGCAAACTAGGGAAGTTCTCATTCCGTAGGCTGCCTTTTTTCGGCTAGCAGAGTGCAATCATATCCTGGATCAGCCATACATATTGCATGTTTGCAGCACGCTGAGAAGGAGTGTTGCTGCTTCACAAGGATCAATACAAGAAGCGAACACGAAACGCGCCAACATGCACCATTCTCAGGGAAACCAAAGCAAGAATTCCCCGAAAACATGTGGAATTTGACAGGACGAGCATTGGCACATCATTTGAAGAGTGGAATCTCTGTGGCCTCCAGTTCCTTCACTCTCTTCTGCAGCATCAAAACCTCTTGTTGGACACATGGCACGGGCTGAGAGGAAATGGAGGCAATCGGATTTCTCATGCTTCTTGGCACCAGTTTCTGAACAATGGAAAGAGCAACGAGTCCTTCCTCTTGCAGTATAGCTTGCATGTTGGTCACGCACTCGAGACTCCCAACAGTTTATCCAGCGAAACAGCTCAGTCTAAAGTCGATGAACTGAACTGGTCGCACTATCGCACCTCCTCTTCCAGCTTTTCAGACTTCTCCACATCGGCCTCCCGCAATGCATGAAGCACAACAGAATCTAGGAACATTGGATAAGCCTCACAACATGACATTCCTTACTGTTGCGTGGTTGTATCGTCTGTTGGCTCTACTATGGTCTACGGTCTACTCTTCTCTTGGCTACTCTACTCCTCTCCACCCCACTCTACTCTTCTCTGTTCTTCTCTCCTCTTCTCTCCCTTTCTCTTCTGCAAGCTCATTTGTTCTATTCTCTCCTCTCCTCTTCTCTACTCATCTCTTCCGTACTCATGTCTACTTTTACCAATACCTACTAGTACCTACTCTTTTTTCCCCTCTCTACTCTTGTCTCTCCCTCTCCCTCTCCCTCTCCCTCTCCCACTCTCTCTCTCTCTCTCTCTTTCTCTTCCCTACTCTTCTCTAATCTTCTCTGCTCATCTCTTCTGTTCCCTATTCTTGTCTGTTCTACCCCTCTAGACATTTCGTAACTCGGAATCTTGCGGAACTTCCTTCCATGACAGGGTGACTGGGGGTTATCCCACTTATTTGTCAAACAACTGTGTTTTAACCACGTTCTGGGAGCGCATACTGGGATGTTCAACCCAACAACATGCACCTCAGGGCCAATGCCCAACCCCTGCCCACAGTAGCTTTCAAGCACAAAATAGTGAAACCATTGGAATGTGTACACGATTGGTTACAATATGGTTGTACCATTTTGTACCACTGGAATATTATACTACTATATTTTCTATATTGTAGAAAACATCAACAATATCGATGTACCCACTGGAATATGATATTACAGAATCGACAACATCAACGACCAGGTATTAATGCGTGTGACAGGCCATAGTGCAATAGCCAATAGCTCCAATACGTTCCGAAAGGCCTTCAAAGGCTTTACAAGGACATCCAGCCTGCAGTTTCTCCAACTTGTCCTTCAAGCTTGGAGCCTTGCGAAATCACAAGGTTGGAACTAATTGGAACTGAATGGCTGAGATATGGAACTGTTTCCTAGCCGTCCTAGTCTGTATCTTGCATGAACTGCATGTGCTAAGTGTGAGGGAAGATTACGAAACATTTATGAAGCAGTAATGCAATATATATCTTCTCAAGCATAGTTCGACCAAGTCCCTGTTCAATCCTTTTCAGCTTTCCTTTCACAGAACTTGCAAGCCATCACAGCATAGCAGGTCTTCCGAAATTCATAGTGTGCCCTCAAAGTGGCAGCGGGTCTTCTCATGAAATGTTCTCGTTGCTTCAGCTCTACAGCTCCAACCGATCTTCCGAATCTGCCTGTGTCAGGCCAGCAGACACAGCGGCCGCCTCTGTTCCGGGCTGGGCCAGCTGGAAATTGGGGAATTTCTGCAGCCTCTTTTTGGATCGAGATGAAATCCTGGCAATTCCAGGTTGAATCCTATGTTGACGCGTACGCTCTTTGAAGATGGCTAAAATCCAAATGTTGATGGTTTTCTAGCTGCAATCCTACATCAACCCTCATTTTGGTGGTTAAATTCCCCATTTTTGAATGGTTAAAAGTTAAATCTAATGTTCGTAAAGTAAATCCAACAGTTGTGACCTCCTCATGTTGCATTTCATGTTGATGGTTTGAAATTGTTTAAAAGATGATTGAACAATCCCATTTCCATGGGTTTTCTTGTTAAAGTTGATGGTTTACTGGCTCAGTGAACTCCCCGCTCGACCCAGGTTCGACTCATCACCTCCAGATGATGAGCTACGGAACTGCCACTGCCCATCCTGCGGATTTTGGGGTGACGGTGAGACTGGGAAACATGAGGGAGTGGAATATACTGGGGATACTAAAACTGATGGGACATTTGACATTTAATCAGCAGTATGGTCTTTAGGTGTGTCCAAAAATGCCTGTATTTGCATTTTTGTTGGCAGTTCTCATAGAGAAATCATGCTAAAAGATTTGATTTTTTATAGAGTCACCCTTTTTCAGACGAACATAAAAAAAACCATGAACGCTGAATATAACATAGAAAATATCTGAAACTGTGCGGCAAAATATGGTCAGAAAACAAACGTCAACTTTCAACATGCAACTGCTGCAGTCAGTCATGTCAAACATTGTCCGAATCACGAAGAAGGGAAGGCCATGAAAAGCCGCTGTTTGCAAGATATTTGAGCTGGATGTCATGAAAGAAACCCTGTCGTGTGATCATGTGTGATCATGTGTGATCTACAATGATCTACATCTGGATTTTGCTTCTGAAAGTAATGCGCTTGACCTGAAATGATTCGAATGGCCATTTCCGATCAATTCCTCAAACTTCTAGCCATACCTAGAAAGGTGGCAGCTGGTGAGCGGCTGGCCACGCATCTCTTGAAATTCTCCAGATTCAGAACCAGGACTGGCCGGCTCATCTGTGCTGTATTTCTTGGATGTCTCAACCGATGACATTTCATGGTGATTTCAATTGATTTCAGCTTAAATCTCAAAGACTTGCAAGAAACGGTGGATGCACGAAGTCATCAATACCAGAAAATTCATCCAGGATTATCTAATCCAATATTTTTTAGCCTGGCGAAAATCACGTAGTTGATAGCTGAGTATCCATGATGCCATGATTATCCCATGATTACCTATCATCTTCCCATGTTTTCCCAATCTTGGGATTCTCCCAGTCCTGATCTTCAGGTCACACCCAGTCCGCCCAGTCCTTCAAAAAAAAATCGGAGCCCGATGCTTGGCCTAAGATGGGCCAACATCTTCGATTCTCATGGAATGGAAATGGAGAAATGGAAAATCTACCGAAAGACTTCACCAGAAAATGGAAGATTTAACAGGATTTGAGCAGTCAACATGAGGAGTGTTTGCCATCCAAAAACAATCAAAAACAACTATTTGAGGAAAACGATGTGATGTTCAACGAGGTTGGTATTTTTTGGACGGAACTACATGCTGCCTGGTTGGGCTTTCCGAAAAGAAGACCCCAGGCTTCGGTGATGTTCTGCCAAAACCATCCGGCTGAGGCTGAGGCTGAGGCGACAAAAGCCACGATTTTTCGGAAACACGTGGCACTACGAAACAAATCTGGTTGCTGTCGCTGAAAGTGATGATCTGTCCATCTTCTGGGTTTGTCTGAAAATAGGGTATATTCCCAAACAAATAGCCATTTAATAGGGATAATGATCAGCAAAACCATTGGGTTTAGGGGTACACTATTTTCAGACACACCCTTTTAGCATCTTTTGGGATGGAAAGATAATTGCGCCCCCCTGGGGAAAATCTTTGCGGTGAAGATGTCCTTCGTGGAGCTGCAAAAGATTGCACAGTACAAGGCGTATAAACGGCGTACGCGGCATGAGCTAAGGACACCATCGAGTGGTTGTGTGCAGGTTCACTTTCTATCACGCCACAAGGCAAACAAGATCAAACAATATTAATATATGCCAAAGTCGAATTTGGATACGTTGTTTGCAAATGGTGTACCTCGCGAGAATTGGATTCTGCCAGCCTACCACGTTGGTTTAAGGCACCAATGTACTTTAGGCCCTATACAATCATTTACAGAATTCCACCCAAGGCTGCAAATCGAACCATTTCCAGCCAACTTCGAACTGTCTAAGCATCGTTTGACGGGGTGAAACTTGGTTCGTGCAAATCTCAGGTGCTCATCTCTCAGATGGAAATCTTCAGATCTGGGCGTTGCTCCATCACTTGGTGAAGGGCCGAGCGCCCCTTTTCGCTGATGCCTGGGTTGCTCCCTTCAAACAAGATATCTCAATATCTCCGGGTTTCAAAGAGAAATTTCAAGTCAGGAAGCAACTTTGAAATTAATTCGGAAGAAAACATGTCTATAAAGATAAAAAGACCAAGAACCCAACAGCGAAGATAAAACATGAAAACTATATTTCACCATATCTCACCATGAAATCTGTAAAAAATCTAGAAATATGTAGAATTCCATTTGCAAAGTCTGTTCGCTACCGGAGAAAAATCTGCTGCACATCCGGCTGAGGCGTTCACTGCGTTCACCCCGGAGGCCCTGGACATCCCCAGAGATCGGCCAAATGCGTCGCTATATGTTGCGAAAAGGTACCATGATGAGCATCAAAATTATGAAAATCTTTGGGATCAATGGATGGGCATCCCTCGAATTGGCTATCATGGGTTTTAACTCATAATCCCATGGCCATGATGTGTGACTGGTGAAAACCTATTGCAGGCACTCTGAAAATGTGCTTGTTCTCTCACTGTGATGCCTTCACCATGAAGCAATGTCGGATGCAAAACTGTTTTCTTCCGAAATGGTCCGCGACTGGAGCTGCAAACTGCGCCATGCGAATGTATCAGCCACACGAAGGTCGACATGAAAGGTGTGTTCAGTGTCAGCGTCGTCCATAAAAATGTTGATAGTATTTGATAGTGACATAGTGACAAAAGGAGCATCGGTCCAAAGCTGCAAAGCCTTGACAAATTCCGTGACAAGGCGTTGGCTGAGCGGAGGACAACTTCCACCGATCGTGTCTGACTTCACTTTCCGTCACCCAACAAGCAAACAATATCAAACAGTTGTAGCAATAGAATGAATGGAAATCCTTTGTTTCTGGTTTTACGAATGATTTGTTCCTCAAGAATCCAGAATTTGCATCTTGCCGGCCTGCCATATTGGTTTACCTGAAGGCACCTGGGTACTTTCAGGTGTTCTTACTGTACAGCTGCCTACCAAAGACATTGATAATATTCCAGCCAGGACATGCACCAACACTCCGCATTGATTTCCCGAGGCGTGCTCCCGCAATCTTTAAAGCTGCAGCTTAACTCGGAAGATGCCCATTCGTGCGACAGATTCAGCAATCTGGTCAGCAACACTTTGGGCCTTATTCATCTGCCGATCATCTATGTACACCAGGCCATTCTTGAACACGAATTGATTCTGATAGATGCCTCGTTCGTTGTTCTGCGGCGCTGGTGGCCACTGCTCGCAGAGCCTAATCGGAAACAAGGGCAACCGGTGGTCATGAGCAAATTCAAGCTCATGGAAAGTTTCATATCCTACACCAGTGTATGCCCCATATTCCGACGTGCAAAATGTTACCATGCCTTTGGCACGGCACAATCCTATCCGTGTCAGGTCAGCAAAACTTTGGCCGACGGTTGCTTCAACCATGAAAACAGGTACATTTCGAGCTTCCAGCTGCTTCTTCACTGTCTTCATGTACTCAATAATCCTCAGTCATCAACCCACGAAGCGTTAGACAGCTTGACTCTGTCGCCCCTGTTCAAAGCAGATCCGATCCCCAAGACCGACACATTTGAATCACATCAAAATTGTGTTTTTGAGGCAAGGATCTCATTACTGTTGAAGCGTCCGCTCAACAACAAGTGTCCTTGCTGTGACGACGCCGCCTAAGCAGAGCAGCTTCCAAAGCGTGAGCCACAAATACACTGAGGTTTTGAACGATGGGCAAAGACAAGTACAATGTCCACAAGTACCCTAAATCCTGCATTGATATGCATTTATGGAGTGATCCGAAACAAGATTGCAGTCTTTGCTTGAATACGCAAACTGCTTTCGAGGGACAATGTGGTTGTGGGTCAGTTCACCCTCGTACCCTTCTGTTCGCACCAAAATAGCTAATGTTGATTGATGTTCCTCCCCCCAGACATGGTATGACACTTGGTGGCAAGCATCATCCAACAAAGCAAACCCCAACACCATTCCCAGCAGTGCCTGTGCAGATGCAGCTGCACGCGGCCCAAGTCCAGGATTTGGTGTCATGGGCTCTGCAGATGTTGCTGCTGTTGCGGCTGTTGCAGCTGTTGCAGCTGCTGTGGCCGTTGCTGCTGTTGCGGCTGTTGCAGCTGTTGCGGCTGCTGTGGCCGTTGCTGCTGTTGCGGCTGTGGCGGCTGCTGTGGCCGTTGCTGCTGTTGCGGCTGTTGCGGCTGCTGCAACTGTTGCACTTGCGTCTTCTGGCCGAACCTTGAAGCAATGGTTTTCTCCCTCGATCTCCACATCAAAGCGTTGCCTTGACTGGGCGTCCAGTTCCCGTGACATCAGTGGCATCCGGTGAAATCGGATTTTCACCGTTGATGTTTGGTCCGCCTGCTTGATTTCTAGATCTTCATCATGGTGAAACATTCCCAGTTGCCTGCTGGGGCCACATTTCCGGAAGTGTTGCAACACATCTGCATCCGAGCAAAGCGCTTCTAAGCCGCCCTCACATGATTCACATCCGACGTGCATTATGACCACCTGCGCATTCTCACCCTCTGGATGCAGAAACCCACGGGCTTTGAGTGGATGAGGCTTTCCGGTGACCACCATCTCGCAAAAGTGGTCCAATTCCACCGTTGCGATGGCCGTGTCATGGAAAGTGACCGTGTCCAGTTTCTCCCATCCGCTGGCCGTTGACCTCCATAGATCCTGTGCACCAGCACATGTCGGCATCTCCACCTGGATCTCCAACGGCAGGAAAAATGTGCTTCTCAAGGCTATTCATCAGCTATAGAAGTGCCCAACCCAACTCATTTCTTTGCAGAGCAGGGTAAAGGATGCTGAGGATACTGGATTGTGGACCAAATGCATTAACTTTTCACCATGTTTCACCCATAACTGCAGCAAGGTTTGCAGTTCACACCTCTTCTCGCGAGAAGAATTGGGTTGTCCCTCTAGCACTTGTCACAGCCGGACAACGGAAACCCTAATTGGCTCATTACATAAAGATTGAAAGCAAAAAAAATCTGCAGGTAAGGAATCAAAGATGGTATTTTGATCGCTGTCACAGGTTCTAACCTTAGACATCTCCATAGATCACAGTTTTTTCGACCCACAAAAATGTAGGTGGGGCCATGTCCAACTGTCCAACTCTCCCAGCCTTCACTGGCGCAGGGAAGGTTCGATCTTCCGGAGTGAGCCGGAGAAGTCGACCCAGGGGCACGTGGCCGGCAGGCATCACCTGAGCTGGTGGAAATTCATTGTGGCAGAATGCGGATAAATGTGTGGATCATAAGAATCACAAGTCTTATGTGATATAGCATATTTTTCGTTACAAGAATACATATGATAAATTATATATATCTAATATTAATATTACCCACAGGCCCCTTGTGTTGCCCAAGCCCAGAATAGCGTAAATTACAAGGATTTTTTGTTCACACTATACATCTCATATAAATTCTCCCACCCCCGTTAAACTCTTACATGCATTGAAGATTTTCAATAAGGGTTTAATTCTCCCACCCCCGTTAAACTCTTCCATTCATTGAAGATCTTCAATAAGGGTTTAATTCTCCCACCCCCGTTAAACTCTTACATTCATTGAAGATTTTCAATAAGGGTTTAATTCTCTCACCCCCGTTAAACTCTTCCATTCATTGAAGATCTTCAATAAGGGTTTAATTCTCCCACCCCCGTTAAACTCTTACATTCATTGAAGATCTTCAATAAGGGTTTAATTCTCCCACCCCCGTTAAACTCTTCCAGGCATTGAAGATCTTCAATAAGGGTTTAATTCTCCCACCCCCGTTAAACTCTTACATTCATTGAAGATCTTCAATAAGGGTTTAATTCTCCCACCCCCGTTAAACTCTTACATTCATTGAAGATCTTCAATAAGGGTTTAATACTCCCACCCCCGTTAAACTCTTCCATTCATTGAAGATCTTCAATCATCATCATCATCATCATCGTCATCATCATCATCATCATGAAATTTGCCGGGAACGTCCCTGTAAACTTCCGGGCAACACAAGGGGCCTGGCCGTAATATTATATATATATATATGACATTTAACAGAAAAGAGCGCTGTGAGGGTTGGGTTTTTGGGCACATGTGAAAATGCCCAAATATTTAAATATATTTTATTTAAATGAATAATTTACATGTCTTCTTAATACACACACGTGCACGACCAATCTGCTTTCCACCACCTGCCCAGGGAATGCTTTCTGGATACTGAGTAAGAGTAGCATGTGTACGGCACAAGCAACAGGGAGCTACACATCCTTTCTCCAGTTCCCAGCACGGGTCTCAAGGTTAAATCAATTCAAAGGAAGACGATTGTTGGCAGTTGCCTGGACAAGATACCTCTTCCAGAGCTGAGACGTCCTTCAAGTCGTTCCAGTTCTCGAGAACCTCGATTTGTGGATCGAAGGCCTCGAAAATGGCCTGCTGCGCTATCAGGCGAATGCCGTGCGGGAAGTCCTTGATTTTGACGCCATCCTATCCGGTCCCATCACAGTCGCTCTGCAACAAAGATCCGTTGCCAAGGTTTGTTTGCTGCAAACAAAGAACCGCCTTGCCAGGAATCCTTGAGACTTGAACTTTGGGATGAAAAAATACGAAACATCGATTGGAAGCATTGAGAATTCACAGACTCTCCCGACTCAAGATGAGAAAAAGGATGAAACTTGCACGAACGAATACGCATGAATATGAAGCTTCAGCCAATGACTTGATCCCGTCCTCGGGCATGGAGGGGTCTGCAGGTTGGGCAGGCGCCTGGGTACAGAAAAAGCCAGGACTTCGAATGCTGCTTTCAACTGCAGACTCTGTCCGCTTTGCAGGTCACCCTTAACTACCCATTTGTTCAGTGGAACAGCAACAAGACAACTTTCATCCCAATGCCCGGGTGTGTCACAAATGTCACCTGAAGTGTTGCCCCCGCCTGTGCTTCAGGATGTCCCTCTTCGAGAGCATCTTCCTAAGAAAACACCAACTCGCAAGTCCAAATGAGGCAGAGAGAAGAAGACATGAAATGGGGAGTGCGTAACACCTCGCACAGGGTACAACAGCCATGTGGATCATGTGGACATATGATATTGTGGTCAACTTGGATTCATGGTGGATGTGAACACTCATCCACATTGCCTGGCAAAAGGCATTCTGCCGTACTCTTTTTTGGCTTGCTACTGCTGCTACTGTCTCAAGCAATCGTGCCGATTACCCCTCATCATGGTCGCAAGTCATGTTGCAGCTGCTGTTGCCAAGGCACTGAAATCACGGCGGTCAATGTGTTGCCCGGCACAATCTGCGCTGCAGCAAGCTCCATGCTTTCATCCCTGGGCACAGACCGCCACAAACTGATCCAATTCAGTAACTGATGTCACAGAAGTTACTGGTGGCATGGAATATCAACCCAGCTTTACACCCAGCAGCAGAGTAGGCAACAAAAAACATCTTCGTGCAGGTGATTGTTTCTTTCAAACTCGCAAGAGTTTTCCTTAAAATTTCAGGCCAATCAACTATACACACCGGCAATGTAAAAACATGTAAAAACAAGCCAATGATACGAAGAGGCCTACCACCAATACCCAACAAGATTGTTTCCCACGTAAGACAGGATTATACAATTTCCATCAGCTGGGCAGAAGGGTCAAAAAGTTCTGTGCAGCCAAGTAGCAATGGCTCCTGGTTTTGTCCAATGATGTGTTTAATCTTGACGCCGAGCTTTTTCCTCGGATCCACAGGACAGGGTGTGCAGCAGGCATCAACAGGCTGCAGTCAGATGAACCCCGAAATGCCCCTTCTGTGACAGAGACTTGCAACCAGCATCAGGGAAGTGATGCACGTCACAGGTGCCTGGAACCAACTTACCAATTTAGCTCTGAGCGCATCATACGGAAACGAACCGTGAAAAGATAAAAAGATGCGCAATTTCAGATCTTGACTTATTGGGGTACCACGGTGAAGGTCCACTGATCCATTTCGGAACTGGATGAGATGAATCATTGTTTGTGGAAAAGACAAGTACCAAGCGTGTACCAACTGTAGTGGCGCTTGATGGCGCTTGCTACTTTGCATGAGGTCTTCCATGATTTGGAGGTCTAAGTTTCGTTTCAAGATTCTGATTTGAAGAGTGTCAAATACTCCATTCAAAATGCTCCGCTCAAATTATGATCCCTAAAACCTGCAACCTGCACCCAACCTGCACCCAACCTGCACCCAACCTGCACAACTGTGGTTGTCAGAAACAAACTGCTGTTGCCATCTGTTGCCGACGTCAATTGAGCTGTTCCCCCGTGGCTCCCAGTCATCCCGGAGCTCATCTCTGTGCCAAGGCACTCCGCTTCTTCCTTCAACTGCAACACAGTGCGGTCCTGTGAAGGATCACCTCAGTTCGGTTGGGTTTGATCCAATCTTCACGGATGCACAAGTGAGTGGACTGCTGACTCCATCAATGTAGTGCCTCAACACGAAACATGTCATGGGGTGGGATGAAGATGCAAGTCCCGCAGCTTGGCAGACCAACTCGTTTGAAAACATGGTGTCATTCTTCATCGTTTTGCTACCACGTCGAATCAACTGATTGCGTCTTGTAACGGTCATTTTGGGTGAGTGTGTGCTTGCTAAATGAAGTTGCATTTTCCCGAAACCTGTAAAATTGGTATCTTCTAATATGTAACTTCCGGTCCAGTTGAATTTTAGAGGGGCGTCCACAATGTCAGATTACATGTTGCAGGTAAAATCTTCCTACATGTAATGATTTTCTTTGAAGATGCAATTTCTTGGGATGAGCCCGTCACACAAAATGTCATTTACTTGGAAGGTCCCCCAAGTATGGTGTTTGTTCCCTGTGTGAAAACAGGAAAAAAGGCAAGATTTAAAACAAGGTTGATGGAGGCGTTTCCAAACAACCCAAATGTGGATGGGTGAGGGGCAAGAAAATGTAACTTACAATTTGCCAGCCCCCGCATCCCCTGGTCACAACATACTGTAACCTATTCCAGTTTTAGGATGCACAACAAGGATGCAGCACAACAGTGTGGACTCCGTCAACGTGGTGCCTCAACACGAAACATGTCATGGGGTGGGATGAAAACGCGAATCCCTTATCCGGGCAATCCAAGTGCCTTGAAAACCAATTACTTTTTTCGTTTCAACATTTTGCTGGTTATACTGCGCTATACTATGTTGACGGTCAACAGGTCGAATCAAAAGGCACTTCACCATGGTGTATCATCTATGACGGCCACCACGGTCCCAGTGCTTTGAAAACCCATTGAAAACCAATATTGATTTACTCTTCGGGGGGTTATTTTTTTCCACTGACGGTCAGCAGGTATTCCTCGGATCATCTATACCCACAACGCCCAGGTGCAACGGCAGCTTCGGCCACTCAGCAGAGCCACAAAGACCTCGGTGTTTTTTCATGGCACCGACACGACTGTGGTGCTTAGGGCAAGGAATACGGGGATGCACCAGGTATAGTTCAGGCAAGAAAATCTGATGTGCCAGAATCAACTAACGGAACAGTGTGGAAAAATGTTTGGAGCATCCATCCTCCGTGAAGAAGTATGGTGAGAGCAATGGAAATCCCTATCAGTGATTGGATGACCATTCCCCTTCATGAGAAAACATTCCATGTTTTGACCATTGCACATATAACAACAAACAACGACAAGACAAGTAATTGTTAAATGGCTGGGTATATGTGGCGGTGAAATGTAGTTAATGTATAGTTCTATGTAGTTCTACAGTAACGTAGATCCCCATGTTTGATGGTTTAATCCTCATGTCTGGTGGTCAACTAATAAATGATACAAACTTCCAAATACTTTTGATGGGTAATGTTTTCTCATGTCTGTTTATCGTTCAACTCTCATGGTATCCAGAATGTTTGATAACATCACAGGTCAGACTAGTAATGTGAGATACGTGATCCATCATGGTTGATCTTCGTCATGGCTCCAGAACGGCTGCCAAGAGGCTGGGCGCAGGAGGCCCATCACCTGGCGGTGGCCGCTGCGGTAGCGCTGATCCTCAGCCAGGTCGTAAGGCGTTTGGCCTGAGACGCGACGGCGGCGTTTTGGCGTGGGAACTCGGAAAAGTCCTGCGGATGTGGACAGATAAATCGTTTTCTCAGGTATTCTCAGGTTAAAAAATAACATTTGCCATGCCGAGTTTCTCACGGCTGTTCTTTCAGGGATTCCATGTGTTTTCCATTTTCAATCTCAGAATACATGCCTACAACAAAAATAAAATCACTAGATTCTGGCGCTGGCAGTCAAAATATCTGACAGCTCTGCTGTCAAAATTTGTTCCATACGGCGATCACAATTTCAAAGACAATTGTGAGATCAAGCTCAAAATCATCGAAAAAACAAATCCAGTGAACACTTTGAGACCACGTGATTCCTTCTGCTTTCTACTCGGTTCATCTCATTTCTTTTACCCGAATTTCAAGAGGCCCATCCCAGCACAAAAGTGGATCCTTAAACAACAAGTACGAGTACCACTCAACATCCCAAAGCACAGCACGAAAATCAGCTGCCAATGTACGAACCCCTTCCGTCACCTCGTCAGAGCCACTCCCAAAACGACCCGAAAACCCTTCCAGGGCCACGGCCTTTGTTGTCGGCCGCGTCCACCTTGGCCCCCGCAGAGATCAGCTGCTCGACCACGGCGGCATGGCCTTCCTTAGCTGCCCAATGCAGCGCCGTCCGGCCTCGGGCGCCGAGGATGCGACGCGGAAGGCGGGGCTGCTGCGGCACCGAGGAGAAACAAAGCGTAGCAATGGGATGTTTCTCCGGGTGGTTGGGCAAGAAAATGTGGATAGGTCATACAGATATAGAAGATGATAGAAGATCTACCAAGCTGATACTTTTTGTATCTTTCAGTGTGAGTCATGGCGAAATACAAGAGGAGCAATCATCGCAAATATGTTCTTGCTCTATGGTGTTGTTCAAATCTTACAAGCAGTTGCACCTGACTTTCGCATACTTTCGCAGCATCATGTGTGACGTGTCAAAAAATTATTTCATGAATAACTTTGGACTATCCAAGTGCGGATAAACCGTTTTCTCAAGTTAAGAAATAACAAGAAATAAGAGTTCTTTAGGGATTACCAAACTGAACAAAATTGAGTACACTAATCTCATGATGACAGGAAAAGTTGACGATGTTTTGATTTTAAAAAATATGATGCTTGCGTACCTTGGACACCTAAATATCCAATGGAATTGACCCAGGTGCCCAAGCCCATGGCACGCACTGCATTTGTCATGCTGAGTTTTCAATGTTTGGTCGCGTCAAGTTTGGGACAATCAATGCCTCACAGCTGTTCTTTGAAGGATCCCATGTGTTTTCCATTTTTTCTCTTTCTTTTCAATCTCAGGATACATGCCTGCAACAAAAATAAAATCACTACATTCTACCGCTGGCAGTGAAAATATCTGGCAGCTACAAATGTGGGATCAAGCTCAAAATCATTTTAAAGAAACAAAACCAATGAACACTTTGAGACCACGTGATTCCTTCTGCTTTCTACTCGTTTCATCTCATTTCTTTTACCCGAATTTCAATAGGCCCATCCCAGCACAAAAGTGGATCCTTAAACAACAAGTACGAGTACCACTCAACATCCCAAAGCACAGCACGAAAATCAGCTGCCAATGTACGAACCCCTTCCGTCACCTCGTCAGAGCCACTCCCAAAACGACCCGAAAACCCTTCCAGGGCCACGGCCTTTGTTGTCAACCGCGTCCACCTTGGCCCCCGCAGAGATCAGCTGCTTGACCACGGCAGCGTCGCCTTTCTCAGCCGCCAAATGCAGCGCCATCCGGCCTCGGGCGCCGAGGATGCGACGCGGAAGGCGGGGCTGCTGCGGCACCGAGGAGAAACAAAGCGTAGCAATGGGATGTTTCTCCGGGTGGTTGGGCAAAAAAATGTGGATAGGTCATACAGATATAGAAGATGATAGAAGATCTACCAAGCTGATACTTTTTGTATCTTTCAGTGTGAGGCATGGCGAAAAACAAGAGGAGCAATCATCGCAAATATGTTCTTGCTCTATGGTGTTGTTCAAATCTTACAAGCAGTTGCACCTGACTTTCGCAGCATCATGTGTCACGTGTCAAAAAATTATTTCATGAATAACTTTGGACTATCCAAGTGCGGATAAACCGTTTTCTCAAGTTAAGAAATAACAAGAAATAAGATTCTTTAGGGATTACCAAACTGAACAAAATTGAGTACACTAATCTCATGATGACAGGAAAAATTGATGATGTTTTGATTTTAAAAAATATGATGCTTGCGTACCTTGGACACCTAAATATCCAATGGAATTGACCCAGGTGCCCAAGCCCATGGCATGCACTGCATTTGTCATGTTGAGTTTTCAATGTTTGGACGCGTCAAGTTTGGGACAATCAATGCCTCACAGCTGTTCTTTGAAGGATCCCATGTGCTTTCCATTTTTTCTCTTTTTTTTCAATCTCAGGATACATGCCTGCAACAAAAATAAAATCACTACATTCTACCGCTGGCAGTGAAAATATCTGGCAGCTACAAATGTGGGATCAAATTCAAAATCATTTTAAAGAAACAAAACCAGTGAACACTTTGAGATCACGTGATTCCTTCTGCTTTCTACTCGTTTCATCTCATTTCTTTTACCCGAATTTCAATAGGCCCATCCCATCACAAAAGTGGATCCTTAAACAACAAGTACGAGTACCACTCAACATCCCAAAGCACAGCACGAAAATCACCTGCCAATGTACGAACCCCTTCCATCACCTCGTCAGAGCCACTCCCAAAACGACCCGGAAGCCGGAAACCCTTCCGGGGCCACGACCGTCGTTGCTGGTCGCGTCCACCGTGGCCCCCGCAGAGATCAGCTGCTCGACCACGGCGGCATGGCGTGTCTCAGCCGCCCGATGCAGCGCCGTCCAGCCTCGGGCGTCGAGGATGCGACGCGGAAGGCGGGCGGCTGCGGCTGCTGTCGAGAAACAAGGCGATAGTCATGGGATGTTTCTCGGGGTGATTGGGCAAAAAAATGTGGATAGGTCATACAGATGTAGAAGATGATAGAAGATCTACCAACCTGATACTTTTTGTATCTTTCAGTGTGAGGCATGGCGAAAAACAAGAGGAGCAATCATCGCAAATATTTTTTTGCTCTATGGTGTTGTTCAAATCTTACAAGCAGTTGCACCTGACTTTCGCATACTTTCGCAGCATCATGTGTGACGTGTCAAAAAATTAGTTCATGAATAACTTTGGAATATCCAAGTGCGGATAAACAGTTTTCTCAAGTTAAGAAATAACAAGAAATAAGAGTTCTTTAGGGATTACCAAACTGAACAAGATTGAGTACACTAATCTCATGATGACAGGAAAAGTTGATGATTCTTTGATTTCAAAAAAAATATGATACTTGCGTGCCTTGGACACCTAAATATCCAATGGGATTGACCCAGGTGTCCAAACCCATGGCACGCACTGCATTTGCCATGCTGAGTTTTCAATGTTTGGACGCGTCAAGTTTGGGACAATCAATGCCTCACAGCTGTTCTTTGAAGGATCCCATGTGTTTTCCATTTTTCCCGAGAGCGCCTGCGAAGGGTTCTTCGTAAAAAAGCAGCCGTTATACTACATCTTCACACCTTCACATCTGCTGATGATCTTCACACCCTCACACCTGCAGATCTAGATCTTCACACCCTCACATCTGCAGATCTAGATCTTCACACCTTCACACCTGCAGATCTAGATCTTCACACCCTCACACCTGCAGATCTAGATCTTCACACCCTCACATCTGCAGATCTCCTCTCGCTCTTCTTCTATTCTCTCTTAAGGCGGGGGCGGTGCCGCCGGAGCGCCACGAAACGCAACCCTTTCGCACGAAATGGACGTTGGACGTCCAAAACCTAGGTAAAATTGCGATTTTGAAGCGTCCCCGGCAACCCTTTCGCACGAAATGGACGTTGGACGTCAAAAACTGAGGAAAAATTGCGACTTTGAGGTGTCCCGCGCAACCCTTTCGCACGAAATGGACGTTAGACGTCAAAAACTGAGGAAAAATTGCGACTTTGAAGCGTCCCGCGCAACCCTTTCGCACGAAATGGACGTTAGACGTCAAAAACTGAGGAAAAATTGCGACTTTGAAGCGTCCCGCGCAACCCTTTCGCACGAAATGGACGTTAGACGTCAAAAACTGAAGAAAAATTGCGATTTTACTTGGTCAATCGCAGCCCTTTCGCACGAAATGGACGTTGGACGTCAAAAACTGAGGAAAAATTGCAATTTTAAAGTGTCAATCGCAACGCTTTCGTCTGTGTAAAAGTGTCTGTGTGTAAAAGCCTCTGTGTGTAAAAGTCTCTGTGTGTAAAAGCGTCTGTGTGTAAAAGCGTCTCTGTGTTTCAAAGTGTCTGTGTAAGGGTCTGTGTGTAAAACCGTTTGTGTGTAAAAGCGTCTGTGTGTAAAAGCGTCTGTGTGTAAAAGCCTCTGTGTAAAAAGCCTCTGTGTAAAAGCGTCTGAATGTGAAAGTTTTGTTTTTGTGTAAAATCTTCTGTGTGTAAAAGCTTCTGTGTGTAAAAGCGTCTGTGTGTAAAGGAGTCTGTGTGTAAACGCTTCTGTGTGTGAAAGTGTTTGTGTGTAAAAGGGTCTGTGTGTAAAAGCGTCTGTGTGTAAAAGTGTCTGTGTGTAAAAGCTTCTGTGTGTAAAAGCGTTTGTGTGTAAAAGCTTTTGTGTGTGTAAAGCGTCTGTGTGTAAAATCGTCTGTGTGTAAAAGCGTCTGTGTACAAAAGAGTCTGTGTGTAAAAGCGTTTGTGCAAAAGCGTCTGTGTGTAAAAGTGTCTGTGTGTAAAAGCGTCTGTGTGTAAAAGCCTCTTTGTGTAAAAGTGCCTGTGTGTAAAAGTGTCTGTGTGTAAAAGTTTCCGTGTGTAAAAGCCTCTGTGTGTAAAGGAGTCTGTGTGTAAAAGTGTCTGTGTGTAAAAGTGTCTGTGTGTAAAAGCGTTTGTGTGTAAAAACGTCTGTGTGTAAGAGTGTCTGTGTGTAAAAGCGTCTGGGTGTAAAAGTATCTGTGTCTAAAAGGGTCTGTGTAAAAGTGTCTGTGTGCAAAAGCGTCTGTGTGTAAAAGTGTCTGTGTGTAAAAGTGTCTGTGTGTAAAAGCCTCTGTGTAATAGCCTCTGTGTGTGAAAGCGTGTGTGTGTGTGTAAGTGTGGGTGTAAGTGTGAGTGTCTGTGTGTAAAAGCGTCTGTGTGTAAAAAGCGTCTGTGTGTAAAAGCGTCTGTGTGTAAAGGAGTCTGTGTGTAAAAGTGTCTGTGTGTAAAAGCGTCTGTGTGTAAAAGCGTCTGTGTGTAAAAGCGTCTGTGTGTAAAAGCGTCTGTGTGTAAAAGCGTCTGTGTGCAAAGGTTTCTTTGTGTAAAAGTGTCTGTGTGTAAAAGCGTCTGTGTGTAAAAGCGCCTGTGTGTAAAAGGGTCTGTGTGTAAAAGCGTCTGTGTGTAAAAGCGTCTGTGTGTAAAAGCGTCTGTGTGTAAAGGAGTCTGTGTGTAAAAGCGTCTGTGTGTAAAAGGGTCTGTGTGTAAAAGCGTCTGTGTGTAAAATCGTCTGTGTGTAAAAGCGTCTGTGTGTAAAAGCGTCTGTGTGTAAAAGCGTCTGTGTGTAAAAGCGTCTGTGTGTAAAAGCGTCTGTGTGTAAAAGCGTCTGTGTGTAAAAGCGCCTGTGTGTAAAAGCTCTGTGTGTAAAAGCGTCTGTGTGTAAAAGCTTCTGTGTGTAAAAGCCTCTGTGTGTGAAAGTGTTTGTGTGTAAAAGCGTCTGTGTGTAAAAGCGTCTGTGTGTAAAAGCGTCTGTGTGTAAAAGCGTCTGTGTGTAAAAGTGTCTGTGTGTAAAAGTGTCTGTGTGTAAACGTGTCTGTGTGTAAAAGCGTCTGTGTGTAAAATTGTCTGTGTCTAAAAGTCTCTGTGTGTAAACGCGTCTGTGTGTAAAAGCGTTTTTGTGCGAAAGTGTGTGTGTGTGTAAAAGCATCTGTGTGTAAAAGCCTCTGTGTGTAAAAGCCTCTGTGTATGACACAGGTTATTTCATTTTATTATGGAAAATCCCACATAAATGGCCCAAAAAAGCTCGGTACCATGATGCTGTGTATGACACATGTTATTTCATTTTATTATGGAAAATCCCACATAAATGGCCCAAAAAAGATCGGCACCATGATGCTGTAAATGACACATGTGACAATAGTGAACTAGTGAAATGTCTGCAAACGTTTGCAACAGAGCTCGATGCCATCATGTGCTTGATGTCAAAAACAGAACAGTTTGAGTTCAGGACCATAAAATGTCATATAGAGACACTCTTCAAAAGCTTCTGTGTGTAAAAGCCTCTGTGTATGAAAGTGTGTGTGTATAAAAGCATCTGCGTGTAAAAGCGTCTGTGTGTAAAAGCGTCTGTGTGTAAAAGGGTCTGTGTGTAAAAGTCTCTGTGTGTAAAAGTCTCTGTGTGTAAACGCGTCTGTGAAAGTGTTTGTGTGTAAAAGCATCTGCGTGTAAAAGCGCCTGTGTAAAAGCGTCTGCGTGTAAAAGTGTCTGTGTGTAAAAGCGTCTGTGTGTAAAAGTCTCTGTGTGTAAAGGCGTCTGTGAAAGTGTTTGTGTGTAAAAGCGTCTGTGTGTAAAGGAGTCTGTGTGTAAAAGCTTCTGTGTGTAAAAGCGTCTGTGTGTAAAAGCCTCTGTGTAAAAGCCTCTGTGTGTGCACTGTGAAAGTGTTTGTGTGTAAAAGCTTCTGTGTGTAACAGCTTCTGTGTGTGAAAGTGTGTGTGTGTAAAAGAAAAGCGTGTGTGTGTGTAAAAGCTTCTGTGGGTAGAAGTGTCTGTGTGTAAAAGGGTCTGTGTGTAAAAGCGTCTGTGTGTAAAAACCGTCTGTGTGTAAAAGCTTCTGTGTGTAAAAGCGTCTGTGTGTAAAAGCGTTTGTGTGTGAAAGTGTGTGTGTGTGTCTAAAAACATCTGCGTGTAAAAGCGTCTGTGTGTAAAAGCCTATGTGCGTAAAAGTGTCTAGTGTCTGTGCGTAAAGGCGTCTGTGTGTAAAAGCCTATGTGTTTAAAAGTGTCTAGTGTCTGCGTGTAAAACCTTCTGTGTGTAAAAGCTTCTGTGTGTAAAAGCGTCTGTGTGTAAACGCTTCTGTGTGTAAAAGCGTATGTGTGTAAATGCGTCTGTGTGTAACAGCTTCTGTGCAAAAGCGTCTGTGTGTAAGAGGTTCTGTGTGTGAAAAACAATACGAAGGATAGGATGCAAACTAGTGTTTTGTACTTGTAATATATTGTCTTGATACTACTTGTCTCGCCTGCCTAAAATACATCTTTAATATATTGTCTTGCAATATAGTGTCTCAATACTAACAACAGAAGACCCTGCTCTCTCTCTCTCTCCCTCTTTCTCTCTCTCTCTCTCTCTCTCTCTCCCTCCCTCTCTCTCTCTCTCTCTCGCTCTCTCTCTCCCTTTCTCTCTATCTATCTCTATGTCTCTTTGTGGTTGCAAGACACGTGTCATATGATGCCCTTTACCAAGCAGCACAGTGCATATGCATGGGTTGTCACATGTATCCTCTTCTTAATGAATCTTACTTTTCACAACTTACCCCTCCATAGCGCATATAAAATTCACCAACCATTCACCGACTATTTTTTACGACTACCATACTCAGAGCTGCTTGAAAAACGTCTTTTTCGCTCTCGGGCCAACCGTCGTCTAGTTC